CCCCCCCCCCTTCTCCCTCCTCGTTTGTTTATTGTGTACTAGATGGTTCAATGACGTCACATGTGTCTAGCTAAATGTGCAAGATTAAAGACACCGACCCCCCCCCCTTTACTCCCTTGTGTAGCTGACCGATTACAGGCTGCCCCACCTAACTAGCAATTTTCCCGCGAAAATCAGATTATAAAACCCACGAATATAAAGCTGGTAAGATCAATTCCAAATCAACAGTCTTTAGTGAAAGGCAAATTACCAACCATGCAGTTCAACTATATTATTCTCGTCTTCTGTGTAAGTATCTCATATTTTTTGTCACAGTTACATTACTTTCCTCTATATAAATCTAGCACGTTCTTAATACCCTGATCTTTTTTATAAATCTCATTTTAAACCAATTAATTCAATCTTTTTTTTAATCTCCTAAACTTTGCCAAGCTGAAAAATCTTTTTCTTGGAATATTTAATATTACAGTCATCCTACTTTTACTTCCAAAGATATTGAGTCTTTGTCACAAACTTTGATTTTTTATCGTTGCAACAGAATGTCGTAGATCTGACATATTTTCAAATTATTACTACAAAATAAAATCTTATTTCTTATTACTCGTGTAATTTACAATACATTGTAAATTAAAATTTTGCTTTTTGAAACCATTAAGCAAATCGTTTTCTGTCTAGAACTCCATTTTTAAATATTTGAAAAGTCGAATCGATTCAAACTCTATGCGCAGCGTTATTATTAAATTACAAAAAAATAGTTAGATCAACCAATCTAAGTTTTAATCATCATAGGTTTACACCATCAAGTTGCAAAAATATAGGGATTAGAAACATTGAGTTAGTTTTTAATAATAAATTGAGAGTTCTTATATATGTTGTATTTCTTAGGTCATCTTGATGCTTGGAGAGATGGTCGCCGGCGCAGCAGTCCTTCCTCTTATTGGTGGAATCCTACATGGATTAACACATGGACATCACGGACATCATGGACACCATGGACACCATGGACACCACGGACATCATGGACATGGACATGGTCACTCCAATTATTATGGATAAGAAATCTGTGAACTTTATTCATTAAGAAGAAGTAAAACATAAATTTTTCTAAACTTGTTTGTTTATTTGCGAAATAAAAAAATATCTTTAAATTATAGTTTTTTTAAAATACATAATTATTATCTGTGCTGCAAAATACAAATAAAAATTTTCATTTTGATTAATAATTTGTTGTTTATAAAAATTATGATACCATAACTAAAAGACTTCAACAGACTATTTATTTCTTATGGCTATTTTTGGCCCAGAAAAAAATCGAAAGAAAAAATTTGCGCTTTCTTTCGCAAAAATTGCGCCAAAATTTTGCTAACATGGAAACCCTGTTCACAACCAACCAAACGTCTTTTGCGGCATGCTCGCTCCTGGTCAGCGTATAAAATCTACAAAATCAAAGCTGAAAATATCAGTTCCAAATCAGCTGTCAATTGAAAAGGATTAACTCCAATTAAATCATGCAGTTCAACTTCTTTATTTTCATTTTCTCTGTAAGTAGCCTTGTTTATTTACAGTACCTAACATATTTAAAATGACAGACTCAATAAATCAAAAAGATACTTATACTTAGAGGGTGATAAAATTTTTTCCCTGTCTATAGTTTTTTCATCAAAAATTGTAATGCTGAAAAATTGTTCATCCTCCACCCCACAAAAAAATGATGAAAAAAAAAATTTCAACAAATCTGAAAAAAGTTGACAATTTTTTAAAATTTAATATCATCTATTTTAACCCTACCTGACCTGAGCTAGGCACTTAAGAATGAATAAACTATAATCCCGACTATTTAATCCGAATATCCAATGTGGAAACTTTTAATGTTAGTTCTTAATCCACTCTTTTTCTATGTCTTTGGATCTTAATCCACTCTAATCTATGTCTTTAGATATCCGTACATTGTTTTCTCCAATGAGAGTGCAGGAATATAGTTCGTAAATTGTATTGACCAATGCCAGCTTTGAAAATAAATTCTATCCCATGAGAGAAATCCGCAATTTCTAACAGATTAAGAATTTGTTGTTGGCCTTTGTAAATTAATCGATGAAGAAAAATATGTAATAAAACGTTTGAGATTCTTTTTTAACTAATTTTAACTAATGTATTTATAAATAAATGGGTGAGAAATGAAGGCCCTGGCCCTTCCAGTAAAAAAAAACGAACAAATCTGGCGTTCCTAGAATCAAATTTGTTGATCAAAATATTCTATCTCGAGCAGGCCCGTAGCCAGGGGGGGGGGGGTCCCCTTTGACCGGTGTGCTATGCTTTATGAGTCTGTTTTTTTTGAGGCATTTCCGTGGTGAGGCGTTTCCATAGCAACCCCTTGACCCTTTAAAAGCTTTTTTTTTAAATGAATAAGAAATAAGATCATATCATTTTCATATTGCAAAGTCAAAGTAATAAATGATTACTTGACTCTGTTGGAGTTCTAACAATTGTCGAACCTAATTTTCTAGTTCTAAAATATAAATAAAATCTGATGGATTTTTTTTAAACCAGAAGTGAGAACTTTTGTTTTGAGTGTTATTAATCTTGAATGCTTGATCTCGATATCCAATGTGGGAACTTCTAATTTGATGATCAATGCTTGATCCCTTAATTTCCGTTATTCTGATGGGTACAATTACCATGGGATATCGAAGAGGAAATAAATTAATCAGCAGGTCTGTAAAAGATGGAGATCATTGTTTGATCCCGAGATTGACAATTGGTCTCAGACCATTTTTGTTGAACAGTTATTTCTCGTCTGTTTTCTTTTGTTCTAACCTGTAATATTCCTCTGTCAGGATGATATCCCCCAAATAACCAAAGCACACCGTTGGAATCACTGATCAAACAATCGATTTTGAAAAATCTTTATGAAATAGCTGTTTGTTCCTAGACGCCAGTTGGGTAAAAGGTATGTTAGATTTTATGGGCATAAGTATCAAAAAGAACTAGCATCGAAAAACATGGGGGATGGGGGTGGGGTATTTCTTAAAAACATATATAATGTACTTATTTAACAATTAGACAATGATAAAACTATACAAGACTAGCAATGTAAAATAATATACCTATCAGAAAAAACAACACTTTAACCCCATTTACGAAACCCGTGTTCCCCTACCAGTTTCATGACGCTACCCTGGCCTAAAGGAATTGAGTTTTTGCCACAAACACTGATTTTCTGATATATATGCAACCCAACGATGTTGATCTTAGATATTTCAAATTATAAATTGTGTTAGGTCAACTAATTTAAGTTTGAAATATTAAAGGTTTATGCCATCAGGTTTCAAAGAAGTAGGGATTAGAAAATTTGAGTTTGTGCCAAAGACTCAATTCCTTTCGGACACTGTCCCTTTAGTTGAATTAAACCAATTGTTCCTTATAAGAGAATGTCCAATTCTTGAGAGAATTCCATTACTGTCCTCGAGTTCTATTTTGCTGGACAGAAGCTGGTTTAAACCGGACCTAGAATTAAAATTCATTTACAGGGTGTTCCCCATTATAATCTACAGGATGTACCACATTATATAATCTACAGGGTGTCCCACATTATATATTGCACAGGGTGTCCCACATTATAATCTACAGGATGTCCCACATTATAATCTACAGGGTGTACCACATTATAATCTACTGTCCCACATTATATATTGCACAGGGTGTCCCACATTATAATCTACAGGATGTCCCACATTATAATCTACAGGGTGTACCACATTATAATCTACAGGATGTACCACATTATATAATCTACAGTGTGTCCCACATTATATATTGCACAGGGTGTCCCACATTATAATCTACAGGATGTCCCACATTATAATCTACAGGGTGTACCACATTATAATCTACAGGATGTCCCACATTATATAATCTACAGGGTGTCCTACATTATAATAACTCAAGGTTATTTTTTTAGAGACTCAACAATAATTTGGGATGCCTATCCTAAGGTCAAAGAAACGATCAGTTTTAAAATGATTATATCTTTGCAACCTGATGTCGTAGACTTTAGATATTATATTTTCTGGTATATCTTTAAGAATATTGCTTTAGGAATGTTTGAAATATAAAAGGCTTACACCATCATGTGACAAAGATATAGGGTGAATTCGAATTTATATAGAGTAATAAGCCATATTTGGTATGAAAGGATTTAAAAACAATTTTCTTCTAGCTCTTCAGACAAAGTGATTTCAGACAACACGCAGAATTTCAATCTCGAGCTTATTAAACATATAGAGATTGTACACATCTCGAGCTTATTAAACATTCGTCTAACTCGTCTATAGAGATTGTACCCATAATTTCAGGCAATCTTCACTTAAACAGTTTCATTAACACTGATTCATAAAAATACATTAAAAAGGTTTGTATATCAGGAATGAATGAAATATTCATGTTTTTCTCTTTCATTGATCATTTACAATTGTGTTTTCTAAAGTGGCTATCAGATATCTGCTGGGGCTGGGGAAACTGTCAGCTAGCTATAAAAACGACAATATATAACACATTTTTAAAAATATAGAGATTTTAAGGATACAGTTGTGAATTAGACATGCCCTTTTTTAAATTGTAGGTTTAATTGAAATAACACCGACAGTCTCATTAATGTGTAGGACTAGCTCACCTCTGAGAACAATCATCTTCCATAAACCCAAGATTACATCTACATCTTCCAGTTCTTGAATCACAGATTCCTTGGTCTAAACAACATGGAATTCATTAGATTCTCACGTGCGCAAAGTAAACTTAAATGCCGCGTTTTCTTCTTTAAAATGTTTTCTTTTTGAATTAAAAAAAATATGGTTTGATAATGATACTAAAATGTTAAATGGAAAATGGTGTATTATCGGTTTTATTAACCCCCTCCCGCTAAAATGACATTTAACTTAATCTTTTTAAAATAATTAAAGAAGATGGCTTTTACTTACTTTGTGTGCAATTATTGTGGCACACAGAGTCTTTTTTAACTTTCTTTTCACAATCACAATCTAATAGAATTAGCTGATATTAAGTAAACTCGGTTAATGACACAATCCTCTAAATGCGATACTAAATATATTTCTGAAAAGAGAGGGAGCCTGAACAAAGTTGCCAGAGTTATCATTTACCCCTTTATTGAAAATTGCAACTCCTCCCTTTAAATAGTTTCAAGGCAATTCTTTTCTTTTAAAATTTTTACAACGAATGTTTTGCTCTGTTGGAAGATCTCATACTTTCAGGATCTTTTAGACAACTTGAATCATTGAACGCTAAAATCCAAAAAAAAGCCATTGAAAGTTTTCCTTTGAAAAATCTTTAAATATGGCGAAGGTGTACTCAACAAGTTTAGTTTTCTGTACGGTTAAGTGTGCACTCTATGTACGTCAAATCAAAACCGGTTTTTATCAGTTTTCCTGGTTCACCGTGGCATCCACAAGACTCGATACGGAAACTTGCGTTGAATCCACGACTTCCGGGTTTCTAAACCGCCATTTTGTTTAAGATTTTTCATTTAGAAATAATTTTCCTTAAAATGCAGTTTATATTAGATTCCTTCATTAAATCTTCTCTCAGTGTAATTTAATTATATTAATGTTGAGGGGTAGAAAATATAGTAAAAGGTATAATTAATTAAAAATGGTTTCCTCTGAGTATACGACGCTGATTAATCCAGATTCAGCAACCATCACAACTTCCTCAGCTGCAGACGCATTCATATTTTTATCATTAAAGGGACTGTAAACGGAATATCGTGAAACTCTATTTATTGAGATGTCCGATTGAAAGTGATATTTATTAATCCATTATTTGATTAAATTTGTTAAAGCTATTGTCGTTAAAGCTGTTAAAGCTACTGTTGTTTTCTATCTTGAAAAGTGTTAATTTCTCTAAAAGAACTGAGTTTTTGCTGCAAACTAAAGTTTTATAATCCCGCTATCTTTGCAACCCGCTAATGTAAACCTATGATATTCAAAAATTTAATCATTTGATCTAACCGAATTGATAGTTTGAAATATCAAAGGTCTACGACATCGAGTGTCAAAGATATAAGGATTTAAAAATCAGAGTTTGTTGTAAAATGTCAGTTCCTTTCTTCCAATGTAGAAAGTAGAAATTGAAAATAAAAATTTAATTTAAAGGGACAAGCTTTTAAGGATACCGTTGTGTATCGGACATTCCACTCCATAAATGGTGGGTCAGTTGAAATTACATTAACGTAATTTACAATGATTTAAAAAAAAAATTCCGAATGAATTCCTGTATTGTCTGAGCATAGAACAGCAAGGAGTCTAGAGTTGTTGATAGTGCTCACTGCTGGTGGTAAACCATCGTAAATATATACATTGTTATCCTCGCAGTTCACATCAATCCTGGGACCAACATTAGCTTGTTGTCAGTATAGAACCAAATTATATTAATCTTTACATTTTGTTCGAAATCATGAAGAAAATATTATGGACATAATACTGATCGTAATTTTGAAGAACTTGTTCGATATTTAGATAAAGATAGGGCCCGGCAGAGTAAATTGCACCCCTCGACCGGCGGGTTTCCCGACACTCTAGCACCCTCGTATGTGAAGCAATCCGGTTTGCAAGCTTACACGGGCGCTGGGAGTCGGGTTCAAGTGTTTAACAAAGTGTCACACGAAAATCTGATGAATTTGCAAACTGTAAAATTTGCTTTTCTTACACTTTCTATGCTATATTTTCACCAACATTTTCTTTATATTTTCTCTTGAGAATACAACTTTTCCAAAATTTAAAAGAAACAAAATTTTACAGACTACAATTTTAAACTGTTGGAACCTATACAAGTTCACAGTATTTGTATGTTGCCTTTAAGAAGTCCAAACACTTTAGTCCTTAGGTTCTCCAAAAATTGCAGGATGAAAGAAAAACCCCCAATAAAAACATGGAGGCCATTACTATCTTTTTCTTTTTAATTATGTGCAAATAAAATGTACTCTAAATACATTAAACAATTGTTCAATTGGACAAAAATGACAAGAGATTGTTTGATTTAATACTTTGATAGAATTAAAAAATTTCAGTTTACATAACAGCACATTTTTCCTAGATTTGAATAGAGAGAGGCTAACAGGGATCGGATCCCCGTCCAGTCCTTGTTTAAGGGTGTGGGGATCAAGTGAGAATCCAGGATTAGAGCTGACAATCCATAAACAATCTCTTAATCCTCCTTGACCGGCCAACATTCAAGATTGAAAAAGTTTCTTGAAGTTCAAACAAGAAAACCAAATATTAAATTCTTCTCATCCAAACTTTTAATGTTTGCTCAACATTTTCCTATATATGGAAAGTCGATAATGGGCCTAAGTTCAAACGCCAACTGTAAGTGTAATTTTGAGTAATCCTCCATGCAAAGATGGCAATGCCAGATTTGCAAAGGTACCCTTGAAAACCTTGATCTGTTTAAAAATGTGGAGGATACCCGTCGTTTTTTTTGACTCGAACTCCGATAATTTATCCATAGCAATACTTATAAGCTTTTAACGGTACCATGGTGAATCGAACATTCCACTCTGTAAATGAAAGGTCACTTGAATTTACACCTACAATCCCCTTAAGCAGGGAAGAGGTTTTGAAATTAATGTTTTTTTTTATTATCTTTGCATAGATGTATATTGGTTCTTTTAGATAAACATTGGATTGAGCATTCATCTTTGCAACTTTATGCTGTAATGATGTCAAGGATTAAATAATAAAAGTTTGAGACAAACAAGTGTTCTGTAAAGAGTTCCACTGGAATTTTGAGATACGGTTTACGTACGGAAATGATCCGGATTTTTTGGTTCATTTTCATTATGAAAAAGTTCCGGAATTCCGGATAAATTCCCGAACGGTTTGTTTTTAATTGCGAGGCTTCCTGAAAATTTACGCTTAAAGATTAATAAATATAAAAAATTTACTTCTAAACATTTTCAAAAATTTCCTGTACTGTTTACCACTCCGATGATACCTTGCCAAAGAGTTTAGAATAAGAATAAAATTAGAGAAATAAATACTATGATTCAAAATAAAAACTTAATTTTAAATATAATCCCCCCTTCCTAACTTTTTAGTAAAAAAATGTTCGGCTTTTTTAATCGCAATAAGAAACAAAAAGTCTTTATATTAAGGTGGATATATTTTAGAATAAGAATACAACTTAAAATAAAAATAGAATTTAGAAACAGAGTAGAAATTAGAATAAGAATTCAACTTAGGATAAGAAAAAAATAGATATTTGGATTTTTTTCATTTTTAAATGAGTCTACAGTTTTCTTCATTCATCCTTGTGAATTATTTTGTGGTAACTCACATGACCCATGAACTAAAAGTTTAAAACCTGCAACAAAATGTTGATTTTTTTTTAAATGTTCAGAAATTAGTTAATTTTAGCAACAAATCCGCGAAATTTATAGAAACAAAATGGCGCCTGGAACCGTGCAGTTAATCTATAGGCTAAAATTGTTACTAGAAAAGGGAACACGATGCGCCCTACAGCTTAAGAGCTTAGTTTTCTATATTCTTTGTTCCTTGCTGTTCTCCAATGATAACTGATTTAGCAAAACAATCATGATGGCAGTCCCCTCCATTTACTGGCTCACCGGAATACCCTTCAGCACACTTTTCACACCTTAGGAATTATAAAATAGTAAATCTTAAATAGTATAAAGGATACAATTGTTTTTTCAATTTGGTAAAATGTGGGGAGAAGGCGCACCCCACCCATAAAGTTGCATAAAACGAGCCGTTCCAACATGTACAACATATACAACATGTACTGTACAATAATGTACATGCTTTCAGTTTTACTGTCCAGTGTCCAGTGTGGACTATCCAGCATATAGACATAGTCGACCCAACACGTTTTATGCCACTAATGTAGCCTGGCAAGAATGCAGTGGGATTCTTAATTTTCCTTCTGAAACGATAAACATTTACTCGATTAAGTAATTGAGTCTTTTACACAAACTCTGATATTCTAATACATTTTTAATCCAATGTTATAAACCTTAGATATTTAAATCTAAAATTTCTGTTAGACCAAAAAGTTTAAGTTTGGAATATGAAAGGTTTGCACAATTAAATTCAAAAAACTGAGTTTGCGACTCAATTCCTTTTGCATCAAGAACAAAAATATTCTATGTTCTAGAAAAAAAACATTAATTGTGCTTTATCTAAATTCTTTAATTAGTCTCCACTTTTATAGAAGAAACTTATTTTTGCCAGACATAATTTAAATAACTGAAAACTGTTTTTTTTTCTATTTTCGTGTTTTTATAAATTTTCCTGTAATGCTAATCTTAACCTGTCTTTGTTAAAGTTTATCCCATGCTTTGGAGGAAATGAAAAGTAAATTTATATCCCTGCAGTGTCTTCAATAGGTTGGTACAAGGTTATGTAAAATACAACTTTTCCAGTTGATTACTTACACAGTGCACAGGGAGATTAATAAAAGGGTTGAATAAATTTTCATCTTTGCTCTTACTTTTCCTGTAGGATTGTGTGAAAATAGTAAAATAAATTAGTAAAAATTGTTAAGTTACAAATTAGAAATTCCAAGAAAATTCATAATGTAAAGAAAAAGAAGCTACGACGAGAATTCAACTTTTTTCTGGTTCTCATTCTGATTCCTTAACTAACAATAATTTAGAAAGAAATTTTAATTTTTAAAATGCTCATATTTCTTTAGAAAACACATTTCAAGGATTGTTGGTTGGTTAGTTAGTTTTGGTTGGTTGGAAGGTAGGTTGATTGATGATTGATTAGGTGATTGTATGATTGTATAATTGATGATTGATAATTGATTGATAAATGATGATTGATTGTATGATTGATTTATTTATAATTGATTGATGATTGAATGATGATTAATTTATGATTGATAGATGGTTTATTGATGACTGATTTATGATTGATTGGTGATTGATTGATTGCGTGAGTCAAAACAATATGTTCGAAAAATTGTATAGTTTCTTTTAACATTGTACAGATAAAACATTTGTCAAGACCGGAAGAATTTCTGATCAAATAACAGTTTAAAAATCTAAAATTGCTACCTGTCTCCGTGGAACTTTGCTTTGCAGAAACATATTCCGGTTTTCGGATCACAAATCCCCTGAATAATAATCATCATTAGAGGAAACTTTATTTATGCACCATCCTTTTTCAAAGGAAGTAAACACTCAAATTTGCTTATCCCTATATCTTTGCAACCTAATGCACAAGATCTCTACAACCTTTCACTTCCTGATCAAATAGTCAAAGTTTGAAATTTCAAAATGTCCGTTAAGAATAAACAAGATACTAGTAGCCAGAGGGGTGATAAGATGATTAATTTGATTGTTTGAACCCAAGATTTCATTGCACAGATAAAGAGGAATAGAAAACTATCTGAAAACAATCTAAGTTGTATTTATTTTGAATTTTATACTTAGCTTGTCTGACATTAAAATATCAGATTTTTTCTTTTCTTCAAAGTCATCATTGTATATTTATACATTTCCCTTATCTGTGGGTAGTAAAAAAACATGATAAACAGCTGAACTGATAAAGTCAAAATTTGGTTTGGGTTCTCACAAAATATGATATATTGGCGACTGACTTTAAGGATTGCATTAGAATAACTCTTAGATCTCTTCTAAACTTAAAAAATTCGTCAAAAAAGACAAAATCAAATCTGCGAATCTTTTAGTATTTTTATGGTTTTCTAATATGTACGGAGAAAAATCTCATAAAAGTAATACAACAGAAAATGTTCAAATTAAATCCTATTAGACTAACTTTATAAAGTTTTGGGACCACCAGTGGAAAGTTTCTAGGACAATACAGTTTTGTTTGAAAAGAATTTCAGCACTTTGATAAATAAACAATCTCTACATTCGAATTTATTTATCTTTCAAGAAATAGCTCTTTTATCTTGAAGAAAGAGGAATCAGATTCCTCTAAGGAAATATATTTCATTCAAAACTCTGTTGGAAACCAATTAATAAGATCAAAAACAAGATTGGACGATTAAAATCTTAAACAGAATACATCGGTAGGTAATATAAAGTATAGACAATAGACATTGTACATTTTCCCCTCTCACTAACTTTTAAGGACACATTTTCTCTGAAGACAGAGGGGGGGGGGGCACAAGGAGAGGGGCAACTTCATCTTTCAGCTTTTCCTATCTTCAAAGACTTTCAAAGGCTAAGTCACATTATTAATGCTAATAAATCTAAGACAATGTTACATCTAAAGGGAAAAAAAACTTCTGTTTTTTCCAAGAGGCAAAATAAAAAAATTAAAATAAATATATTTAACATGGAACAAACAAACTCTTTAAGAGGGTCAACATACAATATTTTAAACCTTGTCAGTCTTGTTAGAACTATTTTAGCTATGTGTTACCTTGTTTCTGTCCTCGTGACCGTTGCAATGACAAGGTGTACATCCGGAGCTTGAAACCGCATCTCCATATGTTCCAGACTCACAAAACTGACATGTCGCACCTAGACAAATTATAGTCTTAACCAAACATTGGTGAATTGTTGAGAGAGAGAGAAAATATGGGTGATATATTCGAAATAATAGTTACAGACTAGGGTGTCACACAGGGACATCTAAAGAAAAAATAAAAGGATGAAACCTGAGAATCTCAGGCGTTAAACGGTACATATAAAACATCTATCTGATGTTCCTGTCTCGAGAAATTGTTATAAAACTGTGTAAAAGGAATTAATTTTATTGCCACAAACTCAGATTTTCTGATCCCTATATCTTTGCAACTCAATGTTGTAGACCTTAGATATTTCAAACTTTCAATTCTGTTAGATCAAAAAATCTAAGTTTGAAATATCAAAGTTGGAAAGCCATCAGGTTGCACAGATATGGGGATTAGAAAATTTGAATTTGTGGCAAAGACTCAATTTCTTAATACGAAAATTCATATATATGCAGTTTTGAATAAAAGTTGTAGTATTAAACAGATCATATTCAACAAATACGCAACCAATCTGAAAACGACGATATCCCACAGGAGCCTGAGAATCTCAGTTTTCCTCCTATTATAATTTTTCATTTTTATTTTGTATTTTTAATAGACTAGGCTTTAAGGGCACTACGCGCTCATCTTCTATTTCAATTGTGACAATGTTCTCTTCTCAGGTTTATTCTCTTTCATTTTTCCTTTACAGTCCCTTTAACCCCCCCCCCCCCCATCGTCCCTGGAATGTAGAAAAAAGGATTTATCCGTTCCCCCTGAATGATCAAATTAGACATCATAGAGGGCCGGCTTTAAGGAAATGACAGATCGAAAAATAAGAAAAAATCTAACAGGGTAATATGAATCCATTATAATACTAGACAATCTTTAGCACATGAATCATGAAGATTAGATAAAATATTGAATAAAAAACTAAGAATTGATAAAATCAAGGCAACAACAGAACAAATAATAAGAACTAGACATATAATTTTTATCTATTAGTACTTTGTACAGGTCAGAGTTTAAAAAAGCCAATTAATTGAATGATTAATTACAGTGTGTCCCACAAAAAAAAACATTTAAGAGACCATTTAAAGATCGACATTTAGCTTTATAATATTTGACGGCAATAATTCGTCAACCTATTTTTACAAGTGAACTTATTGAGATAAAAATGTCATAATTTCCCTAGTCTAGGCATTTCCAAAATGGGGTCTGTCTTTCATGCAAAGGCAGACCACATTTTTAAAAGACAAGACATGTTTTGCTACATTTGCTTCACATATTTGTAACATCGAGTTGACAAAGGAATACCTCAAATTATTTCAAAGATCAAATACGACCTTCAAGCCATCTCTTGTGGGACAACCTGCAACTTCTAATCACCTGAGGTATAATTAAGACACTGATCACAGAAGCCAACACCCTGGCTACAAGTACTGTGGAAACTACAACCACAATCTATATCACAAGCTGGTCCAGTCCAGCCCAGGTTACACTTACACTGGAAATGTGGTTCTCCTGATATTTCAAGGTTAAGAAATATATCCTGTATATTGTATATTGTACATTGTACAATGTACATTGTACAGAAGAGTACAATTGGGAGAAATTATACTAAGCCTAGACTTAACAGGACTGTAAGTTCATAATTTTAGACATTTAGACATTTACACATTTAGACAACCCTCAATCAATAAATAGATTGTCCGATTCACAATGTTGTCCTTTGATGCTTGGACTGATGAAGAACGAAGATATCTATATTTTCTTCCTTAAATATTGATTATTTTCAATTGTGGTTTTTCTGTAAAAATTGATTAGCGGATATATGCTCTGATAAAATTATGGATAAAACGAACACGTTTTTAGAGAGAAAAATAGGCATGTATCCCTCATTATTACAAAGCTAGATGTTTAAAGAATATCCTTGTTAATTAGATAACTTCTTCATAAATGGAGGCTCACTTGAAATTTCATCTACAGTTCCTAGTAATTATTTACAACTACTTTACAGGGCAGTAAAGGTAATTTTGCTTTACCAAGGATTTAAAGACCAACATAGATAAGCAGGATGCTTTGTAGGCAAAATTGGTCGCGGGAACCAGTGGTTAAGTGAAATTTTTAATTTCCCGAAAAAGTAGTTGTACACAACTATATCGTTATTCTAGATGAAAATGCGCAAATTTTTTTCAAAAAAACTTTGCAGAGCAAGTTGTTATTTTACTTAATTGTACCAAGGGACGTAAAGTAACTTAATGTCCCTCTGTCATGTTGGGGGAATCATAGGTCGGTAATGTTGATCAAAGGGCGGTAAAAGTATTAGAAACCAATTTCTTTTTCTAAACCGTTTCCTGAACAGAATCCGCGTTCACAAGTTTCCAAGCAGCTTCGACGACATTCATTAAATCCATCTCCTTTATTATTCAATTCAGAATTAGGAAATCAATTGATCACTCAAATAGAAATCGAATTAAATCAAGGAAATAGCAAATCAATTTATAAAGTTTAAAATTTAAAAGATTGTCCAAGTGTTTAAAACTGGAATTGGTCCTAAGAATGTCATCAATTGAATACTCATAAAATTGTTAATTATTTTTATTTGTATTGATAAATTTCCTGCAAATCCTTTGTTACATGAACACAAATAACTGCCGGGTACATTTTTACAGGTCGCCTAAACACATTAAAATTATATAGTTTAATACATTAGTAGCCAAAAATATAGCATGATATCTAAAGAGCAAAAATGGCGACACACTTTTTTCCCCAATTTTAAAGATAAAAAATAAAATTTAAACAGTAAAAAAATGCGGCAAACTGATCACAAAAAAGGAGATATTAAATTAAGACTTTATAAAAATTATGCTAAATTTTACTTTGCTTTTATATGAAGATTAATGTAGCGGTTCAACTACAATTGTACAATATTAACTTCTTCAATTTTTACGACTAAATCGGAAGCAATAAACATCTACTTCAAACCAATGATGGAATAAAAAATAAGTCAGCTCTGTTTGAGAAATTATTGCTTTTATTTAAATGTTTCCACAGAGGGTTTTAATTTTAGGAATTTAGATTAACTCATACGGTCATACAAACAGGGTGAGTTAAACAAAATGGGGATTATCAGTGTGTTGGACAAATATTTAAAATTTTTAGCAGTGTTTCGGATCCGGATCCTGACTCTGATATGGATCCGGATCCGGATCCGAGGTAACTTTTGATTCTGTGAATCGGATTTTCCCTATTAAATGTTATGCAAGGTTATAATTTATAAACTATATTTATTATATATTCCGCTGAGTAATCCTAAAGTTAAAAATGTCGTCATTACTATTATATAAATGTAAACATTAAATTCTTAAAGATAATTTTGAAAAATTTTCGTCATATAAATAATACATTTACGAACCATTTTGATTTATTTATTCCATGGTTTTGGTTAATTTTTGGCGCTACCCGGATCCATATCAACGTTTCCTGATACGGATCCGGATCCGGATCCGAAACGCTGATTCTTAGTAATCTTCGGATTTTGAGCATTAACAAATAAAATTTGATAAAAAATCTAAAATATTTTGAACCATAGAAAAAAAATCTGCGAAGCTATTTGGAAAATGTTTATTCTATTGTTTTCCGAAATTTCATAAAACAGTTCTGAGGTAAAATTTGTTAACATTTACTAAAGATTTCCACTCTAATTTTTGCATTTTTTTAAAATCTCATTCAATTTTTTATTTAATTTTTATGAAATTTTGAAACCCCATAGAATAAACATTTTAAAATGATTTGCAAAGACTTTAATTTTTTTATTTCGTTTCGCGGATTTTTTTTCAATGTTTTAAAAATATTTTTGAATTCTTTTTATTTAAATCTTTTCCTTTAAATCGGAACAAAATAAGAATTTTGAAGATTTTGTCCAAAACATTGTTAATCCCAGTGTTTTTTTTTCTCACCCTGTATATGAACAAAAAAATTTAATGGTCCAGCATAAAAATAATCTCCCGTCGGAAAAAAATCCCAATGTGAAACAAAGGAATTGAGTTTTTGCCACAATCTCTGATTTTCTCATCCCAATAACTTTACAACCTAATGTCGTATACCCTTGATATTTCAAACTATGAATCATATTAGACCACATAATCTAAGTTTGAAATATCCAAGGTTTACACCATCAGGCTGCAAAGATAAAGGGATTATAAAAATTAAATGTGTGGCAAAAACTCAGTTCTTTTACCTTGGAGTGACACTTATGGATATTAAGCTTGCATTCATCAATGTCAGGACATTCTTCATATGCCCAGGCAAAACTAGTATCCAAGGAAGAAGGGTCAGTCATGCTTCTGTTCTTACCGATTGAACTGCTAGTCGAGTTTTCAATCTGAAAGTGATAAGTCTTCATTACCAAGCAGGAGATTTAACATTACTTTTTCATTAAAAATGTAATATGCAACTATGGAGTCTAAACCCAGGAATTCTCAAAATAATTTTTAAAATTCTTTACACAAATTGCTTTTACCTGTGAGGTGTTGATGATGTTACATGTCCCATGATCAGAGTTGGTAAAGGAACCAGGGGTGCATGTTCCTTCCAAAGGATTATCTGAATTGTAGCACCAACCACACCCAACACTCTCTGTTATGTATTCAAACATTTCTATTTCTTAACAAATGGTATTCCAAAAGTAATTTTCTTAATTACACAGAAAAAGCAAGTAGCTCACAATTCAAGACTCCAATTTGAATCTACTTTAGAGGTGGAGGTTTCTAGCAATAAAAACTATTTCCCACAAAAGCTAAGGGTTTCTAATGCCGGATTATATGGTACAAAGCAATGCTAAGTCTAGAAATCTCTTCATTTTAATGATCTTGAGGATTATTAACAATAAAATACACACAAATGAAAATACAATATGAATTAAAAAACAAGATACTTTTAGATGTTTAAAATTCAACAAACATTGACGCAAATATTTAAAAAAATGGACAGTGGACAAACTTGAAAAGTGATGAGCTCAAAGTCTTAAATCCGAGGTGGTTAAGTGAAATTTTTAATTTCCCGAAAAAGTTTAGCAAACCTTGTCATAAAACCCAGGATTTACATCCAGGTAAATATATATCCTATGCTGTTCTCTTTAGCTATATACTATAGCAAACCTTGTCATTAAACCCAGGATTTACATCCTGTAAATAAACATCCTCTCTGCAGTTCTCTTTAACTAGATACTATGGCAAACCTTGTCATTAAACCCAGGAATAACATCCTGTAAATAAACATCCTCTCTCTGCTGTTCTCTTTAGGCAGATACTATAGCAAACCATGTCATTAAACCCAGGATTTACATCCTGTAAATAAACATCCACTCTGCTGTTCTCTTTAGGCAGATACTATAGCAAACCTTGTCATAAGACCCAGGATTTACATCCTGTAAATAAACATCCACTCTGCTGATCTCTTTAGGTAGATACTATAGCAAACCTTGTCATAAAACCTAGGATTTACATCCAGGTAAATATATATCCTATGCTGTTCTCTTTAGCTATATACTATAGCAAACCTTGTCATAAAACCCAGGAATAACATCCTGTAAATAAACATCCTCTCTCTGCTGTTCTCTTTAGCTATATACTATAGCAAACCTTGTCATAAAACCTAGGATTTACATCCAGGTAAATAAACATCCTCTCTCTGCTGTTCTCTTTAGCTATGATACTATAGCAAACCTTGTCATAAGACCCAGGATTTACATCCTGTGAATAAACATCCTCTCTGCTGATCTCTTTAGCTATAGCAAACCTTGTCATAAAACCCAGGATTAACATCCAGGTAAATATATATCCTATGCTGTTCTCTTTAGCTATATACTATAGCAAACCTTGTCATAAGACCCAGGATTTACATCCTGTGAATAAACATCCTCTCTGCTGATCTCTTTAGCTATAGCAAACCTTGTCATAAAACCCAGGATTAACATACTCTAAATTTATATCCTCCGCTGTTCTCTTTAGCTATAGCAAAACTTGTCATAAGACCCAGGATATACATCCTGTAAATAAACATCCTCTCTGCTGATCTCTTAGCGAACCTTGTCATAAACCCAGGATTTACAACCTGTAAATGTACATATTCTCTACTGTTCTATTAGCTATATACTAAAAAAAACCTTGTCATTTAAGCCAGGATTTACATCCTTCTGTTAAGCAAACTGTAACATAAGAAGTTACCACCCATCTCTCACCAGAAACCATTCTTAAATATTTCTAACAATACTATACAATAAACATAGAGGAACCTACTGAAGAATCAATGTTGTTTATTCGTTACTTTAAAAATTTATAAATCTAGTTTGCATTTTCAACACAAATTTAGAAAAATAATTTTATGCTGGCTTCAAGCGATATTAGGAAAAAGAAAGTTGATTGAAGTTTTTAAAGATAAATATATATATAGTACTTTATTCTAATAAGTAATTTTTGTTTTTATCTCTCATCTTATTTTGTGAAAAAGTAGCCAGAAGTAGACAAATGTATAAAACTGTTGAACAAGGGCGTTTATAGGGGGGGGAGGCACTGTGCCTCCCCCTAGAACTCAGAGCTATCACACTTTTCATATCTTAAACTTAAGAGTGAAGAACATAACAAAAAATAGTTATCTATTCAGAAGTTTCAGGGGAGTCCCCCCCCTCACAAAAAAAATATATTATTGAAGTGCTGTAACCTAATTTTCCCTTTTAAGTTCACTTAGTTTTGTTTGAATGACAGATAAAGTAGTGCTTGCAAGGTGGTTGGACTGTGTGTGTACCTTTTGATTATCTTATACTTGTATCTGATATCCAAGAAGCCAAATGTTCTTAATTGACAGTTCAAACTTTGCCCCCTTATTGCAAACCAATATAAAGTATAGTTAATGTAAAAATACAGTTTATTTATACAGTAATACATTTTGGTGAAATTGAATTTAAGTTTGAAACCTTAAAACTTTGGAAGTTTTCACAAATAATATTTCGATTATTTCCTTCAAGTGGATTGGAAGAATAAATATTAACTTCTTAACAATAACCAACAATATTAAATTTGTTTTTTTGCTTTCCACTTTACCTCCATATTGATACTGACTCGTGTACACAGAAAACGCAAAACATTCCTGAGAAAAAAGATTTTATAGAAATTGTGCTCAAACATAACATTTCTATTATCTCAACGATCAAACATAACATTTTTATTATCTAATAGATCAAACAAAACATTTCTATCATCTCACAGATCTAACATAACATTTCTATTATCTATAAGATCAAACATAACATTTCTATTATCTCACAGATCAAACATAATATTTCTATTATCTCACAGATCAAATATAAAATTTCTATTATCGAACACTATTAAACATTTATATTATCTAATAAATCAAACGTAACATTTCAATTATCTAACAGATCAAACATAACATTTCTGTTATCTAACAGATCAAACATAACATTTTTATTATCTCACAGATTCAACCTAACACTATAATATCAAACAGATCAAACAAAACATTTATATTATCTAATAAATCAAACGTAACATTTCAATTATCTAACAGATCAAACATAACATTTCCATTATCAAACAGATCAAACATAGCATTTCTATTAACTAACAGAACAATCATAACATTTCTATTATCTCACAGATCAAACATAACATTTCTATTATCTCACAGATCAAACATAACATTTCTATTATCTCACAGATAAAACATAACATTTCTATTATCTCACAGATCAAATATAACATTTCTATTATCTCACAGATCAAACATAACATTTCTATTATTTGTAGAAATTAATAAATACTTTAAATTAACCCATTTTCCCTTAAACTACAATGAGACTCATAAAATATTGGACCTGGAAGACATTTAGGCAATTTCCTTAAATAATTTGATTTTAAAGCTTATATAAAACTATTACTTTTATCAAACATCAAATACAGAAAAAAAAACTGCTTAAACGTCTTCCAGGTCCAATATTTTATGAGTCTCACTATAGTTTATGGGAAAATGGGTTAATCTAAAATATTTATTAATTTCTACAAGTTAATAAAAATTCATAATCATATTGGTAACTTTAACGGCATAAACAAGTAAGAGCACCCGTGAGATTAAAATATTCTCCACTGGACATGACAAATTAACGACAATACAACACTTTAGTTTCAGTAGAATTAAATATTTCCATTTACTGATAGCGCCGATTGCAGGATTCAAAAATCAAATTGGATAATGAGAGATAGAAAGATAGATGTTACCGCCAGACTATTTCTATTGGTTCAGAATAGACAACAAACATATGACTGAACTCTGATTGGATCAGGTGCTAATGAACTCAGCATACAGGAGTGACAAATGCATTTCTAGTTAAAACAAATTTTTTTGTAAATTCTGAGCTAAATTTTTTACGGTATGTTTTGTGACACTATGTATTTAAATACAAAGCATAAAATGGGTGCGAAGCAGACAGCAAGTACCATAGAACTCTGGAATAGAAAGTCTACTTAACAACGTGTTTGTGATGTTGTAATAAAGCAAATAGTTTTGCCAGAATAGGTATATATAACCTTTTTTGTGAAATATGGGTCTGTGTAAACTGCACAATTGCTGTGTATGAAGTTTAAAAGAATGGAAATTTAAATCATAACTTGAGTTTAACATTCATCTTCCTAATGGATGTATTGATAATAGTATTCCGTCCGTATTACGTCACCAGAACTCCCACCAATGGTTGTGCAGTATACTGGTCAGATGATACAGACAACACGTGACCACTATACTGCACTACCATTGGTGGGATTTCTGGTGACGTTTCATATATTTATGGGCCCCACTGTAGGAAACGTCTGGTGTATCACCTGTGTATCCTGACACCAGACACAGTCCTGTTCTAATAAACAGCTTGTACACCCAATCCGTTCCTGACAGCATTTAAATTTTAGTGGTGACAAAAACATCAGAATATTAATCAATCTCTTGCAGAAATTCTGCAATATTTTGAGTGAGAATCATAAACAAACGTATTTTTGTTGTTAACATTTTTTTCCAATTCCAGGAAAAAAACTTTTAGAAATTTTCTCATCTAATATTGCCGTTTCTGCTAAAACTTCACTATTATTGTTGACAGTAAAAGAGATTAATTAAAAGCTTTCAGAAACCTTAGCAATCACTTTCGGTAAAAACAAAATTTTATCTTCCAAGATTGTAAGGGGGGGGGGGAGAATATTTGGTGAAAAAATAATGTCCTGAAAAAAATGAAAATGTATTAGTTAAAATTTGGCACAAAAAAATTGCCTAATACCTGACAAGGAACAGAACAGAGTTCGGGGTCAGAGAGTGCATCTGTAAATCTGTCTTTCCGTACACATCTTAAAATTGATTATGAGTACTAGAGGAAATGTCGATGAAAAATTGGATTGTATTGAATGATTTTTATGAATGAATGATTTGAATGTGCTTGCTGTCGTCTTCTATTTACCTATTTTCCTCTTTGACCCAGGCACAATTCTGGTCTTCCGTACAATCTTTGCAGTACACATGATCTGTACACATAACACATCCAGCAGGTTCCAGGCTAGATAAATACGGCTCGTATTTTAATATATCGCACGTTGGGGCTTAGAGTGTAGAGGGAGGCTATCAAAGTTTTAATGTCAACTGTACTGTGGCGAGAAAATAAGGTTTAATATTACTCTGGAAGAAAAGGACAAGGTTTATTATTACTTTAGGAGAATAGGACAAGGTTTATTATTACTTTAGTAGAATAGGACAAGGTTTAATATAACTTCGGTAGAATAGAACATGGGTTATTATTACTTCGGTAGAATAGGACAAGCTTTAATATTACTCTGGTAGAATAGGTCATGGTTTAATATTACTTTGGGTAGAATGAGACAATGTTTGATATTACTATGGTGGAACAGGACAAAGTTTGATATTACTATGGTGAAATAGGAAAAGGTTTGACATTGCTTTGGCAGGATAGGACAAAGTTTATATTACTTTAGTAGAATAAGACAAGGTTTAATATTACTTTGGTAAAATAAGACAAGGTTTATCGTTGCTTAGGTAGCATAGGACAAGGTTTAATATTACTTTGGTAGGATAGGACAAGATTTAATATTACTTAGGTAGAGTAGGACAAGATGAGTTTGTCCTGAACTGACAAGCGTCCTGGTCCAGACACCAGGCACAATCTGCGTCCTCCATACAAGACAAACAATTCGTCCTAATCCAAGCAACAACAAAATAATTTGAACCCAAAAAAAATAAATAAGGAAAAAAACTTTTCACAAAGACAAAATGTAAGAAAAAATTTATAAATTCTTCTTCACAAAATTATGGAACAAAAGAAATATTTTCTTAAATATTTGTTTAAAATTTATTGTGGTTTAACTTGAAAAGCTGTTGAAAAGTAAATAAAATTATACGAGGCCGAATTTACAGAATTTAAGCCGCGGCTTAAATTTAAGCCGGCGCTCAATTGAAACCGGTTTTAGGGGAATTGAGACGCGGCTTAAATTCATTAAATTCGGACAATAGATATTTTATTTAGATTGTTCAACATTTTCCAATAAAATAGATGATAAAGAAGAGACAACTAAAAGGTCGTCTTTATTCTTTAATACGCTTTTAATAGCATAGTATGTTGTTTAGATAGCAGACATTGGATGAATTTAAGACAATTTTGGTTTTACTAATTAAATTGAAATCTGAACATAATTCTCTTTGTATGCCCGATAGTTAGAAAAACAAAAGCTGAAAATATTTTGGAAATGTGAGGACTTACGACCAACTCTTTGCAATTCTTTAAGTTTACTGTTCAAGGAATCCTCGTGTTTATTGGGACACACTGTACTTTATTTTGTGTTTATTATTCTACAATTGTTGATGCTTCCCTAGATTTACAAGATTCCTGCATGAAGGGTTGGAGCGCCTCCAGTTTATAAACAGAGCCTCCCTCCTCTAATCTCATACTGGAGGTATGGGAGGTGGATATATTCCTCCAGCCAAACAATCTAAATATAAAGGGTTGGTTGGTCTCATAGATAAAGATGGATTGCGCATAAGACGACATTTTTCATCTTGAAAGATATAAATGTACAGAGATGTTTTAAAGATATTCTTATTATATACAGGGTGTCCCACATCATATTAGACCGAGAACGGGTCTAAATTACGATTTTCGGGACTAATTAGAAAATGTCATTAGAATGAATCATTTTGAAAAATAACATAAGGCTTATCTTATATAAGAATTTTCTTGCGGAATATGATAAGTTTTTCGAGTATTAAGGGTTTATTTTGGTGTTAAAGATTGGAGATAATCTAATATGATATGGGACGCTCTGTATATTAACTAGGTTGGTTGTGAACATTAGCTGTTCTTATGGCATTGAGTACTTGTGGTGTACATGAGTTCTCTAGAGAGAAATTTAAGTTAGTTTAGTCCTTCTCATGTCCTTCTTCAGTTCTCGTCAATATTATATATTGCTCAGTGAAATATTGTTGTTCAAATAGTTCCATTCCCGGAGTTATTTTACACTCTATTATGAAATCCATTAAAACACCAAACCACCCCGCTTATCATTGAAGTAGACTTTGACCCCTAGAAGTATGAGTTCGCGGACTGTACAATTCTTGGTGATTTTGCGTACATAAGCTATCTATGTTTATTTATTTATCTATGGTTGGTCTCCAATTTTAAAGCCAACAATCTAAATATAAAGGGTTGGTTGGTGACCAGTTTTAAAGCCAAAAATCTAAATATAAAGGGTTGGATGGTCTCTAATTTTAAAGCCAACACTCTAAATTTGAAGGGTTGGTAAGTCTCTAATTGTAAAGCCAAACAATCTAAATTTAAAGGCTTGGTGGGTCTCTAATTTTAAAGCCAAATGCTCTAGAAAAATCAGAATTTTTAACGGTCTTAAATGCAAAGCCAAACAAATTTAAAAAAGGGTTGGAGGGTTGCCAATAATGATGTATTTTGAACACCAAACGATCAAATATTTAAATTAAAAGGTAGCCAATATGAAAATATTTAAACCCGAACCATCTAATATTTTGGTTTTCAGGGTCTCTTATTTAGATATATTTTTTAAACTTAAAGGGACTGTAAAGGAAAAATAAAGTCAGAGTTACTATGTCAACTAACTTTATTTAGATATCTTATATTACAAGTGAATTGACGAATTAAAGTTTAATGTACGTATTTATAAGATTAGCGAGTATTATAACGTAGTTAAGATTTCTCCACCCATGTTTACAGCGCAGTTAAGTTGAATATACGTTTTTAAAGGATTATCAGGTATATGGTTCATCTAATCAGAATGCGTTTTAATCATATCAGGTAGCTCATGTTTAATATATCTAGGTGTGTTCAGGTTAACAAATATGAGGATTGCTGTATTAGTTACAGAATAAATAGTTAATAATGTACAACGATCTGCAGGTTTACAGAATATCATGTGAACCGATATTTATTACAAAAAGAACTCTTATGGGTCTCGATCAACTTCTAAAATGCTTAGGTTTGAGCCTATACCCCCTTTCATTTTTCCTGTACAGTCCCTTTAAACAACTTCAAACTGATTAGATATCGAGGGTCATAATTTTGAATCTAATATTATTTAAACCCCCAGATACATTAAACCTTTTGATTAAAAGGACTTAAGAAAAAGAAATCTAAATGAAGATTATAAGTATAGAAACTGATTCATAAAAACAAGATTAATAAAACATATTAAAATGAAAAATGTATCAGATAATCTTTAATTTCCAAAAATTAATTTCCTCAGAAAAAAACTGTATTTAAAAAAAATATTTATTGAAAGTTTTAGTTTCTGAAAGTAAATTTTAAATTAACAATTACAATAAAACATTAAAATAAAAAAAAATATATCTTTATATAATAGCTAAAGGCTGGAATTAAAAAAGGAGGAAAGTCTTGAATTAAAACTAAAAAATGGAAAAGCCATTTTATTCTGTAAACATCTGAAATTATACTTTTAAAGCATGGTCGGTCTAAAACAAAGTTTATAAATATATAAAATTTACGTGATTTCCCTGGATTAAATATTAAATTTAAAATTTAAATAATATTTTAAATTACGAACTAAAGATCACATTTGAGACTAGAGTCTATATTACCGCACAACAAATCAACAAAGACCAAGAATCCTTAATATTATAAATTTGGACCTTTTTAACCCTATTTTTGTAGATTAGACCAACGAATAAGAAATAAAAACCATTTATTAAAAAAAAAAAAATTTTGAAATCAATAAATTCATAGAAAAAATTACAACTTATATTGACTTCTATTCCATCTTACATAGTGATTTTAAAAATGTCAGATATGAATGAACTTGATTATCAAGTCATTAAGGTTTAATTTTAAACATTATCTTGTAAATAAATCCGTAAATTTCCGTATACGGAAAATAAATCAACGAATGGACCTTTATGCTTCATTAAGCAAAAACAATCAAAAATAATTCTGCCAGTTTTAAGTTGCTCTGCGTTTATTTCTATTTTCTATTTTAGTTTTGATTTCTTACAAGTAAACAAAGATAAGCTATTGATTGACAGCTAATTTCAAGTTTACAAGTAAACAAAGATAAGCTATTAATTGGCAGCTAATTTCAAGTTTACAAGTAAACAAAGATAAGCTATTAATTGACAGCTAATTTCAAGTTTACAAGTAAACAAAGATAAGCTATTAATTGACCGCTAATTTCAAGTTTACAAGTTAACAAAGATAAGCTATTAATTGACAGCTTCTCTTTGTTTCCATGTTTATATGTATCCATGCTTGGTAGAAATCAAAATTTAAATCGAAAATCATCTTCATTGTATTGATATATACGACAACCACTTTATTATAATTAACAACAATAAAATCCATTCTTACTTGAGAGAATATGCAAAGTTTAGGTAGAGGAATATAGGATGTGTGTCAGCCCAGAAAACAGGTTGACAGGTTGGAGTAAACCCACTGCTAACCTAGAAGGAATAAAACAGGTTGGAGTAAACCCAATGCTAACCTAGAAGGAATAAAACAGGTTGACAGGTTGGAGTAAACCCACTGCTAACCTTGAAGGAATAAAACAGGTTGACAGGTAGGAGTAAACCCACTGCTAACCTAGAAGGAATAAAACAGGTTGACAGGTAGGAGTAAACCCACTGCTAACCTAGAAGGAATAAAACAGGTTTACAGGTTGGAGTAAACCCACTGCTAACCTAGAAGGAATAAAACAGGTTGACAGGTTGGAGTAAACCCACTGCTAACCTAGAAGGAATAAAACAGGTTTACAGGTTGGAGTAAACCCACTGCTAACCTAGAAGGAATAAAACAGGTTGACAGGTTGGCGTAAACCCACTGCTAACCTAGAAGGAATTCAATCTTTGCCACAAAGTAAAATTATCTAATCCCCATATCTTTTCATCCTGATGGTGTAAATCTTTGACATTTCAAATTTAGATTTTTTAATCTAACAGTATTTATGTTTTGAAAATCTAAGGTTCATGACATTAAGCAAAGATATAAATAAATAAAAATGATCAACCATCATTCCGTAAAAATATAGGGATAAGAAAATTAAAGTTGGTGGCCAAGACTCAATTCCTTTGAAATATATCAGCTGACATTAAGTTTTGATGTAAACTGGGACTATAGATTTTCTATAAACCCTGAGAGATAATCTAAAAGTGACCCTTCATGTACAGATGACCATGTCAGATTATCATCGGTAACTTTGTCTCATCTGAGTCCGAATTCAATGAATTTGAGCCGCGTCTCAAATCCCCTAAAAACGGTTTCAATTGACCACCGGCTCAAACATTGAAACATTGAATACGATTTTTAGTTGAAACAACCATATTTAAGCCGCAGCTTAAATTTAAGCCGCGGCTCAAATTCTTTAAATTCGACCTCTGAATTATATATTAATGTTTTTAATTTTGAAAACTGATTCTTTTTAATTGTGATGGTTTCTATACAAGAATAACTTGTTAACTACTACTGCAAGAAAACATTTGGAAATTATCAAAATTAACACTTTTAAAAAGTAAAAAAACGACATTATCTTTCCTATTAATGATCAGATTAAGATTACAAGAGTACCATTGTGAATGTGGAATTGCCAACTTTGCATTAGGATTCACTTAAAATTACGCCTACAGTCTCTTTAAGCCTTCAGGTTACATTAATTTGAGAAACTCATGTGACAGTTCTTCTAGAAATACATTTACTAACAGTAAAATGATTGTCGTTCTCTTGTTTACGTTATATTATTATATGCGGCTATAACTCTACTGCCAAAGAGAATGGAAACCAATTTCCACAAAGAAAATTATTTAAAATCCTTCTACAGTCTTTACTGGAAAAATTTATCCCATTTCTACGGAAAAATGCTAAATCTTTACTGATTTTTTATCCCACGGCCCTGGTTAAAAGTCCTTTGTGTCTAAACCTTAGCACTTCTTTGAAACCATGAAATGTCGATTTTTCGTATTTGCTGTATAATACTTTTTTCTGGGTTTACATAATTAAGGTCTTCAACTCATGCTACTCAAATATAAGGGCATTTTGATCATCAAATTGTACAAAAAATCCGATCATTGTTTATTAAAACTTGACCAATTACAAGTTAATTCACATTGAAAACTAAATCTTAACTGTACATTAAAAAAAATTGCAAAAGCAAAAATTGGCTTGGTTTGTAGGTTATGTAGCACTGTGCGCATAGTGAAAAAAAATACAAAAAGCATATTTCAGTTTCTCCCATGGTCAGATTTAGAGATAGAGCCTTCAAAACATCAATGAAATTGCTTAAACGGATTTTTCTTTGTACGTCTCATTCGAAATCCCATAAAGGTGTATGCTGATCGAAATGGTGAATTTGCTTATCATGAATTCAAGATAAGTTACAAATACAAACGTTTTGAAAGTGCTAACACTAAATTTGACCATGAGAGAAGCTGAAATGTGCTTTTAAAACATATTTCTTCTATGCGCTTACAGCCATATAACCTACAAACAAAGCCAATTTTGTTCTTCTGCATTTACTTTTCTTGGATGTACACATTAGATTTAATTCTCTTTGTGAATTAAGCAAGATTTTGTTAAGAAAAGATTTTTTGAGCAATTTGATAAATCCTAAAAACCTGATATTTGAGATAGTGATAACTCTATTCTTGACGGATTTTAAAAAGAGATAAAAAAATGACTTAAAATATTCCGCTACAAACAGCATGTGTACTTTGTTGTATTTACTTTTATGTGATCTTACCTCTGCTGGATGTTTGATGTCAATAATCTTCTGATATTGCAGATCAGGAGGATTAGAGAACATATAAAGAGAAGCAGACGCCTTTCAAGATTTAGAAAATGATGATTAATAATTTCTAAATACAGTGAGACCTAGAAAACTGTTGAATAGAAAGTCAACGGTTAGTTATAAGTTATGATTCTATAACTAGGGTTGTGTCCTTGTGTGGCATTCAAAGAACTGTATTAGTCTCTGGATTTTGATAGCTACGCTTGTGTCCCTGTGTGGCATTTAGAGCCTGGGATTAAGTTCTGGTTGGGTTTATAGCGGACTGACCTAGATAGATACGTTTCCAGAGATTGTTATGGAGTAGGTGCTTACTACACGACCATTGTTAATACATTATTAGGTAAAGAACGGGCTCTGTGAACATCAACAAAAAACAATAATTGTGCAGTGAATGTCGTCTTCCTACTCAACAGTTTCGTAAATCCCAACGTATCATATATAAATTTAAAAGATGAGTTGTAAAAAATGTTAAAAAAAGGAAATAAATTTTTAAGCTAAAAAAGAAAGTTAGCCATTAAAAAATAATCGAGAAATAAAAATCATTCTTATTTGATAGAATAGAAATTAAATGTTAAGAATAAAACGTAAAACAGAAAATTTAGGAAATTAAAGGAAAAGGATTAGATGGGGCAAAAATTAAGAAAAAGTTCAAAGGTTTATTATTTTTCAACAAAATCTTAAAGTTCCTGTCCAATACATATCTTCAGCTGTTCCAACTTCACATTGGGATTCCTGGAAGAAAAAGAAAATCTAAAAAAATTTGTTTAATTTTATTGAAATTAAATTTTAACTATTTCAAATCTTTGATTAATTAAGATTTAATATTTCATATTCAATTTGCATTGCAAGATTACTCAATTAAAGGATGAGCCTTCAATGACAAACTGTTTAAATGTGAATAATTAAATGTTGCTCTCCTGCAATACAAATCAGATTTTACGGATATAGTTAGTAAACTAACATTAAAAATAGGTGTTTACTGTTTAGCTGCAGGAAGCCATGAATGTAAGAGAAAGATTTAAAACATTCCGTATTCTTGTCTTTGCCGTCTTTGAGTGTAACTCATGGCGCAAAGTGTATTAGGCTGTAAAGAGAGTGTTCTTACAAAATGAAAGGGGGTCTAGGCTTACGGCGAAAAAAAAAGCACTTTTGATCGCTACTAATCTTACTTCTATCTGTTGCGTCTATAAGGAGAAAATTTTTAAAAACAACTAATGCTAAAGAGCGTAGCGTCCAAACAAATTTAGAAAGATGCAACATTCAACTAGGATCGTAAAATAATCAATTTAATTCCAAACAAATCATTAAGATCTTACAAACAATAGTCATCGATCTTTTTTCGACGCTTTCGTATATTGTTAATATTTCATAATATTTTTTATTTTGTTTTTTTAATTAATATTTCGCTGGCGCTAGATTTTCGAACCTTCCTGGAAAATATGAAAATGTCGTCTTCATTTTCATAAAAAATCCTCGAAACAGGAATAAATGTTTTCAAAAGTAACTATCAGATGAATCAGATCAAACGTTCTTCATTATCAGTCGAATTTTTGACAATTTTCTCCTTTCAGGCGCAACAGATAAAAGTAAGATTAGAAGCAATCAAAAGCGCTTATTTTTCGCCGTAAGCCTATACCCCCTTTTCATTTTTCGCGGAAACTCCCCATACCCCCGGCCTTTATTTTTTTTTCTAAATTTGAACTTTGAAAGTCACCCTTTTAATAGTTCTCAAATTTGCTAGGGCTTTCCTATTTAAATTCGCGCTATTTAAAAAATGGACATTTCTGGGCTCGATCAGTTCAGCCGTTTTTACATTGGATACAAACACCAAGACAAGTAAAGTATTTATATATTATATATTGATATATCCGACCTGACCGGAAGTATTGTTCCACGCATTAAATACGTCACTTGAGATTTTCCCGCCAATTTCAGTTCTCTCTCACCCCTGCACCAACCGTGTTTAACTTAAATTAACTTTTAACATTTTCAGTAAAGAATTATATATATATATATAATTTTTTCATTTAGTAATCAAAATAAGAACTTAATTCCGTATTAGAACAAAACCTAAATGACGAAAGAAATGTGTCCATTTCTTTTTGAAACAGAGATCCGAGAGAGAAACGCTCAGAATCTTATTTGTAGAGATAAAAAGATATGATATCGAAACGGAAACTAGATTAACAGTTATCAGTACTTTTTTGGTTTAATTTTCTGTTTTTTAGTTTCGAAGGGCGAAAAAGATTATTCTCATTTTCGTACTTTAAATTATTTTTAGAATATCAACCAGTAATATTTCAATCGTTTAAACATTACAGTATTTTTTTCCACTCAGGATTCGCTCAACTTTACTTGTGTTAGGAACATGGCCGCCGGCCGGGTCCGATTAAAACATTTTTGAAAAAATTTCTAAAAAGACATATCTTCCCCATGAAGAAGCGACAATATCTTTGCAATCCAATGTCGCAGAACTTAGATATTTTAAACTATGATTTCTGTTAGATCAAATAATCTAAGTTTAAAATGTACAACATCAGGTTGCAAAGATATCGGGATTAGAAAATTTAATTTTGTGGCAAAGACTCAATTCCATTACTCGCAGAAAGAACCCAAACAAACATTTGAATTTTCACACGAAAAGTAAAATAAAGTAAAAACTTGAAAAAGAAGAGAAAACAACGTTTTCCTTAATTTAGGAGAGTTGAAGAATACTTGAGAGGAGTTCAGGGTCTCAACATGGTCTGGTCTAAATAGAAAATAAAGAATAAATTCACGTATATTTTTTAAAAATCGATTCTCAAAACGAAACCACCAATGGATGATTTTAAAAGTCGACTTTGCGCTTAAACTCAGTAAACTCAGTAATCTCAGTAATCTCAGTAAACTCAGTAAACTCAGTAATCTCAGTAATCTCAGTAATCTCAGTAAACTCAGCAAACTCAGCAAACTCAGTAAACTCAGTAAACTCAGTAAACTCAATAAACTCAGTAAACTCAGTACAGAAATATCTAGGTAATTTATTATTATGTTTTGCTTGGGATATAAAATATACATTATACAACCCTGAAAACATACTTCATTAATAGAAGAAAAAAAAACTTTTCAACAGCCAATAGGAGTTATCAATAAACATAATATATGTAATTCACTAACTACTGGATTCAAACAAAATTGTTATGAACCTCCTGATCACTTAAATATTCCTATTTTTTACTAAAAAAAAACGGGAAACTGTGGAATGAATGTAGACTTTTTTATTCTTAGTTCTTCCTTTATCTTAAGAATTTGCTAAGGGATTTTTCAATTAAATACATTCTTCCGAAATATCTCTAAAAGATTGAGGTTATTTTGAGGTTCAATTTAGTTGCACATTATAAAATCTCTTGGCGACTAATGGCGGCTAGCTTAAGGAGGAGAAGGGGAGCCACTCTAGTATACCGAGTCCATTAGCGCCTGATCCAATCAGGGTTCAGTCATGTGTTTGTTGTCTATTATGAACCAATAGAAATAGTATGGCGGTATCATCTATCTTCTTATCTAGCTCATTATCCAATTAAAGATAAATCCTTATATCGGCGCTATAACAGTAAATGGAAATATTTACTTCTACTGAAACTATAGTGGAGCACAACTCAGGAAATTTTTTCCATTCAAAATCTATTTTTATCCAACGAAAATTCGAAAAATGTGACCACATTTTCCCCTTTCACCCCTGGCTAATATTTACCTAAATCTATATATAAATTTGGCTTGTCTGTTTGTCTGTTTGTCTGTCTGTCTGTCTGTTTGTATCCAATAAACGTCAAAACGGCTGAACCGATCGGGCCCAAATTTTTTGTGGGACATCTAGGGACCCCAGGGAAGGTTTATGAATGATCAAAATTTCAAATATTTGTCTCCATCAAAATTCAATCGTCATTAAATTTTTTAAAATTTTGAAAATCCACGAAATTTTTTGTGAAAATCCGCGAATTATTTTTGTTTTGTTTTACGATGTACACAAAGAGAACATGTTCACAATTAATTTAGAAGATGGGCGCGAAGCGCCCTCTAAGGCTAGTACATTTATAAAATTCCATGGAAGGGGGGGGGGAATGAGGAATTTTATATTAATAATCCCCACCCCCTCCTCCTTTATAAATATCGTAAATCCTCCCTCGGTTTAAGACATTTCATTAATAACAGAAAAAATGCGACAAGAATTCAACGGTTTATTGGTTCTCACTGTATGAATGAACGATCAAATAAGATAAATCAAACCGTTCACCTGGATAAATCTGCTGGGAAATCATATCTTGATAATGTCAGCCCAGGTCTATATCAATCAATCAATCAATGACATTAAAAATATAATATTTTTTCCAAGTTTTTAAGGGCTCTCCAAGTTTTTAATATCCTTGATACTTTTAGATTTTCCACGAAAAGAAGTTATTATGTGTTAAAATAAATAATGTAAATGTATACGTTTTTATTATGCACTTGAGATTTTTATTGGAAATATTGTGAAGATAATTAAAGAAACTAAATCAAAAATCAATTTATCAAGTCCTCCGGTTAATTTTTGACAATTAACCAAATCTTTTTTAAGTGCAAAAAATGCAAATAAGTTTAGATAAAAAATTATTAAAAATGATGTTGATAAAACCAAAAATTACTAGCCCAATCCGACAATTAGATTTTAAAGATAACTTAAATAAATTTACGCTTCAGTTTCTTTTATAATATTTCTATTTGTGGTTACATATCTTAGATGATAAAATTGAATTAATACTAATTCAATTTTTTAAGAAATGATAACCTTCGAGTTTTAACAAGTAACATAATTTCGTTCAAATTTGTTTCCTAACATAGATTTAGTTTTATATCTATGCATTGTTTTATTGGTTGTAATGTTTTTAATCGATTAATTGATTTTAAAACATGTGGTTATCGATTCATTGATTGATCGATTGCCAAGTTCCTTATATCTGATTTAGTGCACTGCTCGGGTGTGTTTAATTCCTGCTCCTCATTCAACCACCAGGGTCCATTTCTAAAAAAAAAAATTCTTGAAATTTCTTTTTTAAATAGGATATTATTCTTTTCGTTTATTTGAAATTGAACCACGTCCAATGCGTACATGTCTAAGAATGAACGTAGGGAACGCAAATGTACAAACTGCATGAACACCTGTCTGCGTATGTGCGTTTGCATTGATAGAGACCATTCTTGTTGTAGCATTTCCCAGATCTTACACACCATCTGCATTCTCCACTAAAATATATTTACATCTCTATGCTTATCTGTCCACTAAACTTTTAGTTATATTAAGTTAAACAATAGAGGCTTGAAAAGCAACATTTAAAAGCTGTAACTGTTACCAGAAAAGGCCTTGTTAATCAGAATTACTTCTTTTAGTTTGAGAATTTTATTATGAATTTTTATCTTCAAAATTGATATTATGTCATATTTGTAGCTTGTAAGGGTTCATTAGTAAGATTGAATATTTCTTCTTTAGAACCAGGAAGCAAGTAATAATTTAAGTATTAACAAATGTGGATTTAAAAACTGTAGCTTTTCTCCTTTCTTTTTCTCCTTTCTACATTGTGACAGGCCTTTTAAATCGCAAAAGTTTGTTTAATGTTTGTGTTGGTATACACATGTATATGTACACACATGTATACACATAATTAAAAAATTTGACATCTTTTATTAATGGGTGTATTTTTTTCTTATTATAAATTTTTGTTAACAATTTATCATTTTTTATTAATTATTAATTATATTTAGTTGGCAAAGCTTATTTTCTCTCCTTCTTTCTTCCTCTTCTGTAATCTTTTTTTCTGGCTTCTTTTTATCTGTCCATTTTTCGTTTTTATTCGCTTTAATGAAAACTTCTTGGAATAGATATAAAAATGGATTGTTCACCTTCCTTGTGAGGTGCAACTGTGACAAGTGCCGAGTGTGGAACAAACACCTGGACACCCTGAACAGTGAACATACTTTGTTAGTCTCGTATTCAGAATAAACTAAGTAATGCAGGGGTATGCATTTTTCTCAAGAAATCTCCCCCCCCCCTCCATCCCCTAATGAAAATTGATTTAGATTTTTTTATAAATTGAACATCATTGGGAATTATCAGAAAAGCAAGTATAAGAGCAAATTTTCATCCTACCTACATTAATCTTCGAAAATCAATCCAGTAGCTTTTTAAAATATATACATTAAGACTCACAAAACTATGAAATAGGAAGAGTACTATTAGACTCATGTAATACACAGATCACAGACCCATTTAATGTAAAAGTATATTTTTAAGGTATTGTTAAAACTATTTGCTCAGTAACAGAACAGCATCGTATACAATGAAGATTGCATAGATGTCATCTTCCTATTTCACAGTGTCATGGGTCTTACTGTACATTTGGGCTTGTGTAACCCAACTGTTCAAACGTGACCTGTAGCGAGAAGGTTGCCCGTGCAGGAAAAGGTTTCAAGGTTTCTCATGCATTTTCCAGATGATCCACACCAACCACACTATTAACATATAAATCAATCAAACAATCAAAATAAATCAACCCAATCAAGCGATTATTTAATCAATCACAAATTAATCACTCATTTTCCGGATGATCCGCACCAACCACACTATTAATATAAAAATCAATCAAACAATTGATAAATCATTCAACCAAATCAATCGATTATTTAATCAATCCAATCACTCATTTTCCAGATGATCCACACCACCACACCATTATTCAACTTATCAATCAAACAATAAATAAGCATATCAATAAATCAAACAACAAAATCATCAATCCAACCATGTTCATATAGTCCCATCCCACGAAATTAAATAAATCTCAACCAATTAAATAATAAAAATACTTTTGAAGACCTTTGGGTTTGCAGCACAAGCATTGTATAGACCATACAGATGGCAAGGAGTATCCAGGGAGGATAAAGTACTTGGTAGCGTCAAACTCACAACATCTCCTGCATTTAAAATCATATTTGACTTCCTATTAAAGGAACTGTAAGCATTATTTAAAGTAATCCTTCATTTAAAGATGGTAACCCCCCATTCAGAATGGTACCCTTAAACTATTTATCTAATCAATGAGGAAGGGAGTCCAGAGTTCCTCAAATATTAATCACCGCCACCCAAATCTGTTTTGTGGCAAGCGCGCTCCTCAATTGGTAATCTCCACCACCTCAAATAGTAATCAGCCCAAAAAAGCATAAAATTAAATCGTTTATTTCTTAGAAACAAGACCATATTGACCTCTTTTAATGGCCCTATGGTGTACAATATTGTTAAAGCTTTCTTTATCGCTCCTTAGTTTCGAAAATAAATCAATAAATATGCCACACTAAGTGCTAGAAATATATTACGTTTTTTAGTTTCAAGTTTCGCTTGAAGAATGTTTGCGGCATTTTCCTCTATACCTGAAACTATTCCATGGAACCCTCTAACAATATCTGGATATATAGATTACCTGAAACTATTTCATGGAACCCTCTAAAAATACCTGGATATATAGATTACCTGAAACTATTCCATGGAACCCTCCTGCAATACCTGGATATATAGATTTCCTGAAACTATTCCATGGAACCCTTCTGCAATACCTGGATATATAGATTACCTGAAACAATTCCATGGAACCCTCTAACAATACCTGGATATATAAATTTGCTGAAACTATTCCATGGAACCCTCTACCAATACCTAGATTTATAGATTACCTGAAACTATTCCATGGAACCCTCTAACAATACCTGGATATATAGATTACCTGAAACTATTCCATGGAACCCACTAACAATACCTGGATTTATAGATTACCTGAAAGTATTCCATGGAACCCTCCTGCAATACCTGGATGTATGGATTACCTGAAACTACTTCATGGAACCCTCCTGCAATACCTTGATATTAGGGAAGTGCTGATGGGTGGGATTGCCTGGGGCCAGGAACAACCACAGCGATTCTCTTTAAATAAATAAAATAGATTACCTGAAACTACTACATGGAACCCTACTGCAATACCTGGATACAGATTACCTGAAAGTACTCCATGGAACCCTCCTTCAATACCTGGATATATAGATTACCTGAAACTACTCCATGGAACCCACTAACAATACCTGGATATATAGATTACCTGAAACTACTCCATGGAAACCTCCTGCAATACCTGGATATATAGATTACCTGAAACTACTCCATGGAACCCTCCTAAAAGAATTATCTGAGACTGATTCCGAGTAAACATGCTGTTTCCAAACATTCCGTAGCTAAAACACGAAAAAAATATTTATAACTTTTTTTTAATACATACAGTGATCCATAAATCTGTAGAATAAGAAGACAACTGACAAAATCAAATTATGGTTTGCAATGCTACAATGAACATAAAACTTCAGTTGCAAGCTGACACTGGGAATGTTAGGACATAGAAAGCAGGGCTCTGCTCTGAGTAGACAGGCCTTTATTTAGTCAGGGAGTGCTGAGCAAATTAAACATGGCTGCAAAACACCTTAAAAACAAACATAGAAAATAAGAAAAAGGGAAACATAGAAAGAAGAATCCTAAGAGGTGGGTCACCATGCACTAAATAAGATGCCGGTTTTTTTTTACTCTACTGGCTGCGATACTCGGCCAACTATGAAGACTGGGTTACAAAGACAACAACTCCCCATTTTGAATTGCGGTGCAACTCCAATGGGTAACCCTAAATGCCGCAGAACTCGGAAAGAGTATAAATCCAGGAGAAAAACAGGGTTCCTTCCTTAGGGGAGTTACTAGATACCCTCCCTTCCTTCCTACTCCAAATTTCCTATTCCTATTTAACACAAACAACATTTGGAAATGATGGCTTAGTGGAGGAATGTTGTTGGATCCATCTTTAAGAACTAGGATTTAGACACACAACTCAAAGTACAGAATGACAGTAGCAAAAACCTTTTCTATTCCACCCTGCCCCTCTACTCTCCTACTGACCTTAAAAAAGCTTAATCAACTGTGTGCAAGGTCAGACATTCCCGGTTGTACAAAAACTAAAACTGAAAACTGAAGAGTCAGCTAGCTGCAAAATACACCAAACAATTACAATGTGCAGATTGTCTCAATAAATACTGGTTTTGACAAATTTTCATTTTTTTATAAATTATCAGAATCAGGGACAGTCAACAGAAGGTAAAGAAAAAAAGAAGAAGATAGAAACGATGACAAGTAGATGCATCAAATCAGAATTTTTCTGTATTAACTAAATCCAATTTATAAAATTAAAAATCAAAAATAATAAATTGCTAAAAAAAAAATAAGACTAAGCAACTGTTCAGTGTGCATAGAGCCATTTCCCTTTTTACACTGATTTGCAAGCTAATGGTACAGTTTACCATATAACAACATAAAATACACATAAGAATTTTTAGATGTCGTCTTCCTATGCCCCAGTTTCATGTTGCCTTCAATGTTTTTACCTGAACGGGTAATCTGACCCAGGAGGGTTATGCTCCATGGCCTGGCAAATATCAATCAATTACTTCAAGTCAAATCAGATCAAATCATATCAAATCAAATGAAATCAAAACCAAAAAAATTGTGAAGATTTAAATCTTGCAGACTATATTTCCTTTTTCTTTAAATGAAAGGGGATGAACCAATTTGAAATCACTGTTGTCATTATTCATCAAGTGAAAAGGAACCAAGTCTTTGCTACAAACTCAAAGTTATTCATCTTTACAAACTAAGATCATTTAATCAATCTAACAGAAACTAGGTTCGTATCGGTCAATTTGTTTTCATAATGTAAACTCAACTGTGTTATCATAATTTTACAAAACGTAACAACATAAAACAATGAATGTTCTCATTTTTATTACTATGAATGAATGATACATATTTTCCTTTTGGCTGATCCAGGTATGACATTCCAGACTGTAGAGATATACCCCAGAGGAATAACATTCTTCATAGCTAAACAAAAAGGAATTTAAGGGACTGTGTGCGATGTCAACAGAAGGGATCGCTTTCCATTATTTAAATAGTAATAATCAATTATTCTTAATTTACCCCTTCTAAATGAAAAAGGAAATTCTATAATCAAAACCAAAATGATTGTTTCTTTAATTAAGGTTTACGTTAAGTTGCTAATATTGACATATCATAATATCCTTCAATTAATAGTAGTACAAGACTAACAAGTAACAAGTAACAACAAGTTGTATGACTACGTTCCCGGAAGAAATTTAAGAACACTTTCAACAAAAGTTTCAACAAAAGTTTGATCCATACTTGGTTTTGCTTGTGACTAATACTAAACAAATATTGAACAGATTTATTCTTTGAGCAACATTCTTTGATTAGAGGAACAGACCTGTTATGTTTGTGAGTATAGCCTCCAAATATTACAAGATAGTTGCCGACCAGGGTAGCAGAGTGAAATGCAAGTTCAGGAGGACTCCAATTACTTCTAAAATTGGATAATAAATTCAAAATAATAAAATATACATATATCTTTATACAGGGGTATCTATATATACAAAATAGCAATCTCTGTTTGTCAGTTTGTTTTCAATAAAGCTAGAATGAACTATTAACATTTCTCCCCTTTTTGAAATATTATATTAAAAAAACATTTACTTTCCCCATTTAAGCAATATAACTTAAATTTGCAAAATACTAGAAAAATTATTTTTGAAAAAAGGAGGTTAAAATTTTTTTTTAAAGTATTCAACCCTGCACCTACTCTTTTAGATTGACTCACCTTGGATACTGAATATTAGACCAGACCCTGGAGCCCAGGTGGAGGGAGAACAGCTGATTGCTAAGTTTACTGAACCGGGGTACATCAGGTACAAGGCCTCCGTGTACAAACAGGGAGTTTGATGCGGCATGGTACACAGTTATGTGACCTAGGAGATTCATAATATTGTTTAAAATATCATTAGTATTCTGAAGTTTTTCTTTATTAACAAGTACTCTTCCTGTTTTCTTTCTTTACCTTCTTGCTCTCCTATTGATTTATTGAAAAAAAATAATATTTAACAAATGAACCAACAATGTTTTTCTTCAGAATAAATTGATCAAAAAATAAAACTTTTGAAAAAATTAAACTCCTTAAAAATAGCGCCCACAAGAAAACTTGTCTCTAACTAGGCGACGTTTTGGAGGTCAGCCAATAATGAGAGGTAAGAGAATGACTTAAACTGATTAAACCTGATTTTTGATACTTCAAAAATTAATTTATTTCCAACTAAAAATAATTTTTTTCCTCAAATTCAGCCAAAACAAACATAATTAACTTCAGGGATAAAATGCTTTTAAAACAGGGGGGGTTGAATTTATCAAGAAAATATAAACCCCTATTTAATTGATCTTAACCTGTTAAACGAAGGGTTTGAAGTTTTCCTCCTAATACTTTTACTTCCTCCCACTCCTGCAACAGAATGACAACATTAGGTACTCAATCAAATCAAATCAAATCAAATCATAAGTTGTAGGGATGGCTAAAGGCTCCAGTTATGAATCAGAGTTTCAAATGAGCCAATAATAGAAAAGGACTTGAGAAATCTACGGACTTGTGATTTTACCCTTTGGGGGAATTTCACTTATTACAATGTTACCTTGAGATTATTTATTGAGATTCTGAACAGGTTTGAGACTACTTTACCGCCGACTAGATTTAAAGATTGATTGGTTTTATGTTACTTGGTGTTGGCTAACTCAAGCTCAAATTATTTATAAAAGGGGCTGTAAGCGTAATTGACTTTCTATTTAAAGAGGGACATGTCTGATTTATTCTCCTGCAGTAGAAATGTGCAAGTCATTTTTAAAGAGAAACTAATGTTGAATTTTTGAAAATTATCAGTTTTCAAAATTATAAACATTAATATCTACTTCATAATAAAAAGTTTTCAAGGGTACCAGTGTAAGTCGGCCATGGCCATCTTTACATAGAGGGTTACTTTTTAAATTCGCTTGCATTTACTAAGATTTGAGGAAACTATTTCTAAATACCCTAACTCTGTGCATTGTCATGAGATTGTGCAATGCTTAAACTGCATCCATCATAGATGCTAATTTCATACAATAACAGAAATTGACGATATCAATCAATCAAACTGTTCCTGTTGAGCCGCCAAGAATATAAACAAATTGTTCTGCTACAGTCATGCTGTGAAGCCAGACTGCGGCAGGAGTTAAAGATGAACCATCACCAACTAAGCTCCAATATTTCTCTGGAAAAAAAACTAGATGAAAAAGAAGAAATATTCCAAAATATCTGATTCTTATTTTCTTGTTTTGTATCATACCAATTTTTAATAGTTAGAGACTTATGTATCAAACCCCAGGCGTGTATAAAAGTGTATTGAGAGGGGAAGTACTGATGGGTGCAAAATCGGCCATGGGTTAGAATACCCCAGCAATTCCTTTAAATATTTTATCAAAAGGGAACTAACAATCAGCACTACAAAAAATTAGAAACCAAAGCTTTCCTTGAATTAGCCTTACCTTTCAGGTCAAACCTCCATAGTTTGTTACTGAGGGATCCATTCTTTGTTTTTCCTCCAAACAGAAGAAGTCCTCCTGGAATCTTGACCATAGCATGTCCCTCCAGGGCCCCTGGGGATCCAGATCTAGACTTATTTCTAGAGTTTTGGGATTTCATAAACTCAGAAGAGGTTCTGAAGTTCTTGGGACTCTCTGCTCTAGATGTGCCTCTAAAAAAATACATTAATTTTTTAAAAACCTGCTTGGAGGGTGGAAAAAGACAAAATTAAAACCAAAACTTTTGTAAAGACAAATCAAGGTGAGTTTGCTCCGTTTATCTCCCCTCTCAGATATTTAGTCTCTAAAGTCATGACTTAAGGAGTCAACTAATGAAAAGTTTGAAAGTTCCAAACATTTACAAAGGATAAATTATGAATTAATTTCGACTTGTCATGATCCCTCAGACAAAGATGAACTTTATGGAATTACCTGTCTTTCATCATGGGTGACCTCTTGCTCTTTGTCAGTGTTTTTCCCTCATTGTCAGCTGTTGTTACATCAAGAACCCTTCCCGAATTATCACTGTCCTCAGATAAGTCTTCTCTTCTATCACTGCTTTGCAAAGCTATATCACCTCTGTGTGGAACAAAGTCATTTTCATCAAAAACAGAATTATCAGTAAGCGTCCCATTGGATGCACTACCTCTCTTAGCTGAACTTTCCCTTGTGGAAACTGATTTATGTGTGGAGGAGGAATGAAGTGTGGGAGTTGAACTCAATAAATGGGAAGTACTGAAGGTTGGGGCAGACATGACTGGATCAAGGACATAGGTGCCATCCCATCTGTTAGTTCTAAATCATTTATTAATTAATTTTGTATAAAATAAATTTTAAGGTTTTAGCCTTATGAGAAAGGCAGGCAGACACAAGTGTATTCATGCCTCTCAATTCCATGTTCTGAAGTTTCATCACACTTAATTTTAAAATATATTTTTAGATTCTCAACTCTCAATATTCATTAAAATGTATCTTCGGTACGGTGTTTGAATTTTCCCAAGGGCAACCCTTATGAAGTTGCTGCTTGGTAAAAGCCTTTGAGAAAGTACCTAACATCTTTGGTAATACCTGTTATTGTTTTCAACCTCCATCCAGGAGTTCTCTTTAAATGAGTAAACAAGGAAATCATCTAGAGCTGAATTCAGATCAAATCCACCATAAACATACAACAGGTCTAGAAAACAAGAATTTAAAAGAACTGTTTATTTTCTAGAGCTGAATTCAGATCAAATCCACCATAAACATACAACAGGTCTAGAAAACAAGAATTTAAAAGAACTGTTTATTTTCTAGAGCTTAATTCAGATCAAATCCCACCATAAACATACAACAGGTCTAGAAAACAAGAATCTAAAAATATATCTATATTCTATCTATTTATCCATTTATCTAAACAGGGTTTAGCACTTGCAGGGTCCAAATATCAGTACGATAAATGCTAATTGAATAAAGATAATGACCGAGTATGACAAAGGATAGTAAAATACAAGCTGGAACAGTATGATAGTATGATAAAAGATGAAACAGTATGATAAAAGATGGAACAGTATGATAAAAGATGGAACAGTATGATAAAAGATGGAACAGTATGATAAAAGATGGAACAGTATGATAAAAGATTGAACACTAAGATAAAAGATAGAACACTAAGATAAAAGATAGAACAGTATGATAAAAGATAGAACAGTATGATTAAAGATAGAACAGTATGATAAAAGATGGAACAGTATGATAAAAGATAGAACAGTATGATAAAAGATGGAACACTAAGATAAAAGATTGAGCACTAAAATAAAGATTGAACACTAAGATAAAATATGAATCAGTATGATTAAAGATGGAACAGTATGACAAGATATGGAACAGTATCATAAAAGATGAAATATGACGGTAAAAGTCCAGACATACATTGGGTCATTCTGACTTTCTGCCTGCTATGTAATGACTGACCTAGTTCCTCATGATAAACTGACGCATGTCTTGTTCTGGGAGGAAGCCTACCAGGACCAGATCTTGAAACCACAGACCAGGTGTTTCCAACATAATTCTAAATATGGAAGTTCAAGGGGAAGAAAAGTCAACCCTGAAAATGTATCCTAAACCTGACACTGAATGTCAGCACTGGGACGAATCACACTTTGGAACTTTCATCCCCTGAAGTTTTTAAATTGAAACACAAAACCAAAAAGTAGATTGTATGTGATAAGCTTGATGAATACAAATATTGCCAAGAATGTTAAAATTGTCTCCCTCTAAAAAGTTCTGCGCTTGAGAGAATTACTTGATCACTTAAATGTTAAAGAGATTGCTAACAAAAAGAAATTAAGGGAGTGTTAACAAAACACCAACCTGATCATCAAGAGAACAATCATCACCAACAAAACCCTGATTGCAAGAGCATCTAGCTTTGCCATCATGAACCTCACACTTGCCCCTGTAAAAATGCATTTGAGGATGTCATTATTATGAAACCCTTTCTAGGTTACATTTATGATACTTGAAGCTAGTGTTGGGTGTTTAGTTTCGTTCGTTTTTTCTGATATGTTTTTTAGTCCGTCCTTGCAAATATCTTCTTTCAGGGTTAACATTTTATCTTAATGTAAGAAAAGCAAATGTTTAAAAACCTTAACTTAAGAAGGATTTAAGCTAAATGCCCAAAAATACCTGACGCAACTGTTGATTTATTTTAAGGGAACCTCATAATAATGATAACATTCATGACAGTACCTTTAGGCCTTTGTCTGAGGAAAAAATTGTCAATTCCCTATTTTTTATATTTGTAAAGGAATTGAGTCTTTATCTCAAACTCAAATTTTTTAAGTGCTATATCTCTAAAACATGATGGTGAAAACCTTTGATATTTTTAATTTCGGCTTTTTTATCCAACAGAATTCATAGTTTGGAATATTTAAGGTCTACTGCATTGGGGTTCAAAGATAATGGGATTAGAAAGTTTGAGTTTGTGGCAAAAACTCAAAAAATTCCTTTATGAGTCTCAATTGCAAAGTCTCTTTAACAGTAACTTGAAGTTTATGCAGCAAGACAAAGTGAGAAACTATTTTGCTCATTCATAACTTTACTACAGTTAGTAAAATCGCCGACCCTTAAAAACTATGGCTGGGTTTACCTATCAGCTGACTCCCCACAGTTGTCTGGACACAGCTGGAGGGAACAGTCATCACCGCCATTCAGACGAAAACATTCACAAACACCTGAAAAGTTTCAAAATAAAATTCTCATTCTTAACGCTTCTTATCCTAAAAAACATAAGTAACAGCAGTGCTTTGAATCCGGATCTGTTGAATCCACAACATTTTGGCTTCATGGATCCGATCCAGGGTGCAAATGTCAACCGAAACATGCTAAAAAAACGTTTTGCTCTAAAAAAAATATTTACAAATGAGAGGCTAATAAACACTTCCTAACCTGTGAATGGTTCATCAAGTTTTACCATAGCAATTTTTTCCTCGATTTTTGTTCAGTAAATTCATTAAATCTTTAAGAAATGTTCACAATTACAAAGGTAAACAACTTGATGTACATAAACCCTGAACTAGTGTACACAGGTGGCGGTAAAGTCTAAAGATGAGAAATAATATTAATTTTAGAAAATCAAAAATACTATCAATTTATTTCAACAAAGTCTTTTCCTCAAACTCTGATTTTCTGTTCCCACAACTTTTTAACCCGATGTCGTAGATCTTAGATATTTCAAATTATGAATTCTGATCAAATAGTCTAAGTTTGAAAAATTATAGGTTTTCACCTTCAGGTCGAAAAGATATAGGGACTAAAAAATTTGAGTTTGATGCAAAGGCTCATTTCTTTTGAAGTAATAATAATAATGATAATTTCTTAATGCTAGGCATAAATTTTGAAACTTTATGAAAATATTAAAAATAATTTTGTAATTGAAATGTTATATTTGTATTTACCTGGCCAGAAAAGCTTCCGATTAATCTAATAAAATATCATTAAATTCAAGAAGAAAAAATAAGTATCAACAAAACAAAACTAATGATCTAATTAGAAGTAAAAAGAACTTTAGGTTATTTAAAAAAATGTGATTTATCATCTTAATAAATAAATGAATAATGCATAAAAGATTGTAATGTTATCTTAAAAACAATCAATTTTAAGTTATTTTCATAAAGATGATGAAATATTAAAATATGAAAAAATGAATTAATTATCACAATCTTTATCAACTGAATGAAGAGATGAATAAAAAATTTAATTAGATTAATTGAAAACTGAATGAAGAATTTTTGATAAATATTCCTTGAAGATGAATTTGATCCATCAAACACAAAAACATAATCATAGGAGCACTCAGTAGCAATACTTTCAAACTCCAGGTTGATATACGGTAGATCTGGTAGACTTTCTATCAACCATTCACATTCTGTATCCTGGTATATAATAAATTGATTGATATACGGTAGATATGGTAGACTTTCTAACAACCATTCACATTCTGTATCCTGATATATAATATATAGGTTGATATACGGTAGATCTGGTAGACTTTCTATCAACCATTCACATTCTGTAGCCTAATATATAATATAAAGGTTGATATACGGTAGATCTGGTAGACTTTCTATCAACCATTCACATTCTGTATCCTGGTGTATATAATAAATTGATCGAAATACGGTAGATCTGGTAGACTTTCTATCAACCATTCACATTCTGTATCCTAATATATATAATAAATTGATTGATATACGGTATATATGGTAGACTTTCTATCAACCATTCACATTCTGTATCCTGGTATATAATAAATTGATTGATATACGGTAGATCTGATAGACTTTCTATCAACTATTCACATTCNCTCCCAAAATGGCGTTTAACTGATATTCCTGAAAAAACAGTAGGATTCAGGAACATGGAGTAGGATCACGAGAAGAAGGATGTATGGATTGAGAAGTTTAGGGATCCAATATCCGGGATTAGGGATCCAATATCCAGGATTGTGGCTCCAAGGGGACTGGGAATCCCGACTCAGAGAGAAAGTCTTCATTTTCAGTCCTCGTCCACAATTTCTAAAGAATAATTGAATGAATATAATTAATGTACTTTAATGTTACATGACGTTACTTAACACTTGCCTTAAACTCTTATTTCTATTTATTTTTATTTATTTATTTTATTCTTTGAATCTAGATGTATTCATAATTTTGAAGAATAAAAACTTTTTAAGTGTATAAAGATCAGAAAATTAAAATGCATGGGTAGGACCCATATCAGGGATATCATGTAGACAAGATTCGCGCAGTTTAAGGGGAGTATACGCGCGATTTTATGGGATCCTTCACGCTAAGGTGACAGTGCCCTATTCCCACCGTTAACTTTTAAACCTTTATTGATCATCAAGTATGTAGAAGATATCGTCGTTTTCATTGGCTGAAAAGTGTTTCATTTAATTCTTATCCTATATGTTTTCCTGTACTAGTCACTTTTGTAGAGAATCCACAGTTAAAAACATTTCAATTATAAACATTCTCTACCTGATCAGACAAAGCTTTAAAGGGTACCGTTCTGAATCGGGCATTGTCATCTTTGCATTGCGCTTTTAGTGCATTGCATGTTTGTGTAAACTACTGATTAAGTGAAATGGGTCTGTTTAGTACACTACGCTTTACAATTAAAAGTTATGTTTTTATGTTCATTGGACTATCTAAAATCCTAACTCGGGTCCAATAAACGTCTTCCTACTCCACATTTTTGTGGGTCTCACTGTATGCGGAGAGTTCCTCAAAGTAAACAAATAAACTTCTGGCCAGCTAATTCAAAAATCTTTATCAAAGAAGCTGAAGTTGTATTTTCTATACTAATTGACGTTTAATAGTGACTTTAAGCGTACAGTCCCTAAAAAACCTGATTTTAAATCGATTAAATTATGGATTAGAATCCATTCTATGTCCAATTTTTTTTTAGAAGCAATATATATCCAATAAAAAAATTGTATGTCTACCCTTACTAATCTATGAAAATGGATCGATCATCAATCTTTTAAACCTTTTTAATTCTAAGATTACAAATTCAGGATATTAACTTCCACTTGAAAAATGAATAACATAGAAATCCTTTGGTTTTATCTATATATGTAATAAAGCTCTTCGCTCATATAATTATATTTATTCGTTAGCTATAGCTGGCCTGGCCTAACGACTGGATAAAATTGGCAGACATTTTTGAGGAAGCTCATGGGTACCCTGGGGCTAAAAAACTCGAGTTTTCTTTTCAAAATTCGTCTAGTATGTTTTATTTTAATTATGACCACTAAAGACGACTTTTAATCCTGGTACCGAGATTCTTATGTTAACTTAAACATTTAATTTTACCTTTGTCCGTAGAGTAAACCATTTTACTGTCATAACATTTCTTCTGAAAGGATTTTAATTGTGATTAATTAATGAAACAAAATAAAACTAATTTATTTCAGCACCAAATACTTAACACAGATATTAGACAGATGAGTGGACGATTTATCTCAAAAATGAATTGTGCATTGCGAGGAATAAAAATTAGCAGTGAGTTCAAGAATTCGTGTTCTACAATTTTTATTTCTTTGCAAAAATAAATCTGAGAATATTCTTTATTTTTCGAGAGGTATTTTTCTATAAATAAACTACTCTACATTATAGCCCAGTCTGGACCACATTATATCCCGGCCTGGGCCACATTATAGCCCGGCCTAGGCCCAAGGTTTGTCCCGGCCGCCGGAGTTAATAGCGTCACATTCAAGTTCATCGATCTCACGTCGTCTATACCTATATATATATAACATTATAAAAACAATAGCAATTAAATCAAAACATAAAAACAAAAAAGGATTAATCGAACATGATGATTGATGAAAGAACAACAACAGAAATGTCAAAATATTTGTAGCTGAGCTAAATCTAATTATTTATAGAATTTTGTTAAAATTAAAGTTCTAAAAAAATAAATATATAAAAGACGAAATATGAGAAAAATGTGATTAAAAGATCAAAAAAATTACAGAGAATAAAAACTTTGAGAACATAGATACTTAAAATATATTACCCTAGGTTCTTTCTAATGAAAATTATCAAAAACAAACCAGGTAGTTCAATTTCCATTAAGATTTTTGCATTTACACTGTATAGTGTAATACGGAAAAAGACTGCGGAATGAATGTCGTCTTTGTCCTTGTTATAGCTTGATTTTATTTGATGTTTGTAGAGCAATTTTTAGATTTAATTCAGTTGAAAATAACTAAATCCACCGAGACAGTTCATAATTTATTACTCATTCACACTGTAAATTATAAATCTTTTGGACAGAAAAATATTAAACTTATTCTGATCTGATATTAAAAGAGGTGCATTCTCAATTCACAACAATACCATTTCGCCCTTTATCTCAGCAAAATATAAATAAATTTTGATTGTATGCAAAGACAGTGAAAGAAATTTGTAGATTTTAACATTCTAAACATGGAAAACAACATCTTTTTTACGGTTGATAAGATAAAGATTTAAAGGTACCGTAGTGAATCGGGCCATACTTTCATAAGGAAATCTTTTAAACCTTTTAAAATTTTGTCTTAAGTCCCTTTAATCTGCTTATCTATTGGGGTAGCTGTTAGAGTAGTTTGTTTAGCTACTACTCTACCAACTGCTGGAGTAGGTTGTTTCGCTACTACTCTACCTGCTGTTGGGGTAGCTGTCACAGTAGGTTGTTTAGCTACTACTCTACCTGCTTTTGGGGTAGCTGTTGGAGTAGTTTGTCCTGCTGTTACTCAACCAGCTGTTGGAGTAGGTTGTTGGGCTGTTACTCTACCTGCTGTTGGGGTTGCTGTTGGAGTAGGTTGTTCAAAAATCGTATACTAGGAAATTACCAGAAATTTATGTTATAGTTCAAAAATACCTTGATTATAAGCCTAATAAACAAAATTTTTAATATCTTATTCAAAACCTGAATTTGATCATTGGAATGTGAGGACGGACTTGAACCAATTTTACCGCAGCGGCAGCCATTCTGTCTGAATAAAGCTCCTTGGGGAAAAAATAAGAATGACAATATTAAGATTTAATTTATTCCAATTTTGATTAACAAATTTTATATGTGAGGTAAGTTTAAATAAAAAAGATCTTGTATTATTAATAACTAAGCCATAAAATTTAAAAGAAATTATAAAATTATTAGTAAAATATGGGACACGAAAGTTATAAGTCTTTATTACAGAAAAAAATGTCAGAAATAAACTATTTTTGTTTTATTAAAATTATGTCCGCGGCATTCAACTTCCGCCTTTGCAGACGAATATTTCTCGGCTAAATCGTTACGAGGCCAACATATTTTTAAAACATATTTTTTATTTAAAATCCACAAGCAAAAAAATACAAATTTTTCAGACAACTAAATTTCCTAATGTAACAAATGTCGTATTTAAATTTAAAGATTTTTGACCATTCATAAAGGATGATAATTGTTAATCATAACAATAGCAATTAAATCAAAACATAAAAACAAAAAAGGATTAATCGAACCTGATGATTGATGAAAGAACAACAACAGAAATGTCAAAATATTTGTAGCTGAGCTAAATCTAATTATTTATAGAATTTTGTTAAAATTAAAGTTCTAAAAAAATAAATATATAAAAGACGAAATATGAGAAAAATGTGATTAAAAGATCAAAAAAATTACAGAGAATAAAAACTTTGAGAACATAGATACNCCCCCCTCCTGGAATATCATACATTAACAAATTTCTGTTTACTCCCTCCGCGAAGTTTTTACATAAGAATTCTATTTCAGGTTGCTTGTTGAATATATTTTAGGAATTTAACCCTGAATGGATTCAGAGCAAACCGATGAACTCCCGAACTGGTTATTTGACGACGATGACCCAGACAGCTACTTCATGCCGGTCAACACACTAACATATACAGATGCACAGACTGTAAAGAGAGTTTATTCGCTAGCTAAGAAAATCTGTGAGGTTTTTACCAGAAACTCCTTATTCTATTGGACGACGGGAGGGACTACCCTTGGCATAGTTAGACATGGTGGTCTTATACCGTGGGATGATGATTTAGATATATGCATACTTAAAAAGGTAAAAAAAAATCCTGTTTTTTTTAAAAGTTGTTGTTTTTAATATTATTTCTTTTTTATAACATTCTTAGATAACAATTTCAAAGAAACTGACATGTAAGTTTTTAAGACAATTCATATTATAAAATTACACCTGTTTAGGACAAGACAAAACAAGTTACAATTTTACACATAAAACTTGATGAAAAATTCTGGAAACGATAAAATGAATTTGCTTAAAATAAGTAGTCCTCTCCATTTTATTTATATTATCTTGTCTCTATAATAACAACTATGTTTGAAGTTTCAAATGTCTTCCAAGAACTGAATCATCTGTAAAATGTCAAATCTCTTTATTGACTAATTAAAAAATGTCCATCTATCAATAGTGTTTTCTTGAAAGTTTCCTTTCTCTAATGATTAATCAAATTGAAAGGTTATCAATTAACTGTCATATTTTAAAGAAATTTTATGACTGTTATACACCCTCTAAACTGTTCAGTGGTATTCAATCAAACAAAATGTCAACGCTCTTTTTCTAAACATTTATTTATTATGATATTTAGGTGGTGGTATGACATAGTCATGGTAAATCGTACATGATTATTGAAATTTTTAATCATTATTCTATTTTTTTTCTCACTTATCTTGTCCAATGTCTTCACATAATGAGAATTTTTGAAAGTTTTTCAACATTACTTTCTAGTTGCTAAATTTATTAGTTCACGCTTTTTGGACACACTGCGTCCCAGGCCTCTACTTTAAACCTGCTGCTCCTCCAGGAGTTAGGTTCAGCCCAGTAAGGGTCAATCCTCGTTCTTTTTTAGGATGAAGCGCAGCTAGAAAGTTTAACGAAAGAGTTGCTACAAGAAGGTTTACGTCTCCAACCTGCTCAACCCTACTCCTGGAAAATATTTAGTCTGGTGGACTCTGACCCGGTAGAGAACATTAATTACACGCACAGATATCCCTTCTGCGACGTGTTTGTCATGACACAGAAGAAGGCAGGGGTTGATATTTTCAAGAATCTTTCCCATCTCCCCTGGGGCAAAGCTTTTCAATGCTCCGGAGAAAAAAGTTCAAATTTGACATGAATTGAAAACTTTTTCCAAACTTCATATCCCCTAAAGATTTCCCCAATTCAGTAAATAAAACCATTAACATAAAGTATATTAACAGACCTACCTATTATATATCGGAGAAAAAATTTTTGAAGAAAATATACAACCCTGGATAAAGGATAGATATGTTCTGTGTGAGAAGGTTGGAGAGAATATTTGGCCCAACGAGATCTATTACCAGGCAAGTGTCTTTTTCTGAAAAGAGAAAGCAATTTGTGAGGGACGTAATTTAACCATTTATGTGTGGTTCAACCACTTCTCTAAATCTCTGGTGTCGACATTGACAGTTTAAACTTGAAGCGAGAGGTTTCTAAATTATTGAACTTTAAGTATTTCAACCAACTTTTTGCCACGCAAAATTTTTTCAAATTTGACTGTCCCAGATCCCTACCTGGGGCCTCCATGTTGTAAGACGAAATCTCAATACAGGCGAAAAATCAAATTTTTTGAACTTTAAAAAAAAACTGATTTCAGGATCAACTTGACAAGACTGAGTTACGAAGATTTGGAAATATTTATTTACCCTGCCCTGGGAACCCGGAGAAGTACCTAGATGGAACCTATGGTTCTAACTGGAGTTCTGCTGGTTCTACACACTTCTTTAATCACAAGAACGGAACCCTGTTTCGCTCTTCTCAGTTTGATTTGTCGGAGGAAATGTTTGTGCCTGCTCTGCCCTTTGAATAGGACAGGAAACTAGAAAATGCTACGACACCAAAGTTTTAGTATTTTCGTATTTGCATGGGTATATATTTTGAAATTTCCCGGCCCCCCCCCCTTTGTTATCCAAAAGTTCATTAATTTTCCCCTTAAATCAATTAAAGTCAACTATTCAGGGATATATAACCCGCAATCTACAGAGTGTACCACGAAACATGACAGTAGCATGACGCCTTGAAAGTCGTCTTTAAACCTTGAATTTATTTGTGACATTCAGTCGTCAACTTATTTTAACATGTATTGTTCTTGAAACAATAACATCAAATGTCTCCGAGTCCTGGCATTGACAAATTGTGGTCTGCCTTTCTTGTGCTGTCAATATTAGCGGAGATATTAAGAATTTCGTTCAGATTTCAATTTTATTAAATAAAATCTAATTTGTCGGAATTTTAATGAAATTCTTCATATCTCTGGTAATATTGAAAGCATAAAGAAAGGCAGACCACATTTTTAAAATGCCTAAACAAGGGGTATTTGTGATTATTAAATCTAGAATTCTACTTCAAAAATAAGGTTTAGGAATAAATTTCGGAAATTATTTCTAAGATAAAAGACGACCTTCAAGTCGTCTTTCGTTGGACACCCTGTAATGTATAAATTAATTGCATCTGGGGAAAACAGATTTCTAATGGGAGGGTGATTGATTTATTAAGAAATATATACCCCTTTGTAGTCAAATGATTAACCCCTATTGATATACTCAGTGATCAATTTACATCAACTTCCCTGATGTTTATTACAGTGCTTAGGATCCGGATCTGTTGTATCCGCAAGTTTTTAGATCTTAATCTGGATTCAAGGGGCAAAATATCAACCAAAAGCTTCAAAAACTTAAATTTGAGTTATTGAAAAAGAGAGATTATAAAAATTTCCTAATTTCTCAATGGTTTATCAAGATTAAGCATAAAAATAAGCGAAAAAAAATGAAACAAAAAAATTTTAAAATTTTGTCCCAAAAAATCAGTAAATCTAGAAAGAAATTACTTGGATCCATTTCTTTCCAGCCCGGATCCGGATCCGCATCAAAATTAAACGGATCCTAAGCAATGCTTTGTTATAGTTTACAATTTGTGTGTTACTCCATCTAGATATATAATGCTAATGATAATAATGATAATAATAATAATGATGTCTCATATGAACTGTATAGTGGTAAAAAGTAAATATTGAAAGGACTTTCGGCTTCATTAGTTTTTCATAAAAGGATTTTTTATCACAAACTTTTATGTTTTATGTGGCCTGAATTTTGTAGTAATTTACCCGTTCAAATTATTGCTTCTAGAGATTCTTTGTTACCAATGTATACGAAACATAAGATGCAATTAGTTGAAACAGAAACCCAGTTGTATTCCTTCCTTATCATTTTTAATCTTGTGCTTTTTATTCCAACTTCTTTTATTTTTACTAATACAGGGACTAAAGTCGTAATTTCAAGGAACACCAGTTTACAGAAGTGCATTTCCGATTCACATTAGTACCCTCTCAACTGTTGTCTGAACAATGATGAATAAAATATCGATATTTGTGAACAGAAATAAAAAGAAAAAACCGACGATATCTTTCACATTCTTACTCAGATAGAGGTGTGAATCGATTATGCCACATTTTATATATAATGGTTAACTTTAAATTACGTTCACAGTCCCTTTATAATTTGTAAAACGTTCACAGTCCCTTAATACTTTGTAAAACGTTCACAGTCCCTTTATACTTTGTAAAATGTTCACAGTCCCTTTATACTTTGTAAAACGTTCACAGTCCCTTTATACTTTGTAAAATGTTCACAGTCCCTTTATACTTTGTAAAACGTTCNTGCTCTCAAGATGTGGTACAGTAGTTAATAGAAGAAAACAAAATGGGAAATAACTTCAGCAACTCAACTGTTATTGGTGGGACTATTGAGAAGGGATATGAGCCCGTTAGGGACATGTTCAGGTAATAAACTGTTAAGGACATGTTTAGGTAATAACCTGTTAGGGACATGTTTAGGTAATTAAATGTTAGGTACATTGTTCTTTGTTTTTAAGTAACTTCAAAGAACAAACCGGTTTATTAGATTATTAAATGGTAATTTGTTTTTTTTTTGTCCGATAAAATTATTGACCAATTACCAATTAATAGGGTAAAGTCTGACCCATTAAACTGTGGACTAAAAGGATAAAATTATTGACCAATTACCAATCAATAGGGTAAAGTATGACCCATTAAACTGTGGACTAAAAGGATAAAATTATTGACCAAATGTCAATTAATAGGGTAAAGTATGACCCATTAAACTGTGGACTAAAAGGATAAAATTATTGACCAATTACCAATCAATAGGGTAAAGTCTGACCCATTAAACTGTGGACTAAAAGGATAAAATTTATTCAATATTGTGGAAGACGATGTTTCGACCTCCAAAACAGAGTTCCACAACAGAAGAAGAACGCGGTATTCTCAAGAGTCTTGTGTGATCGATTAGATTATGATATACTAAGTTTGTCTTATAAGGAAATATATATACTGGAATGAGTCTACCCGAGTTTCATTAGAGTCCGTCCTTCGACCTCTATATTGGTGACCCTGACGAAGAACATTCAGTGATTTTTTTCCAGTACATAAACGCTACGTGACTCCGTCAAGTGATATTGCTTTGGAAATATATATACTGGAATAAGTCTACCCGAGTTTCATTAGAGTCCGTCCTTCGACCTCTATAATATGTTTATTTGATGGCGTACAAAGCAATAAGTTTTACCAGAAGCTTGAAAATCATTTTATTCCGTGAAATCGGTTTGTAGGATTGCTGTGTTTTATGTTCATTTTTTAAAATCATTATTTGAGTCTTAACATTTGTCTTTCTTTTCCTCTGTTTTATGGGACCCACTGTATTTATGGGACCCAGTGTATTTATGTAGAATTGATCAAATTTTGTGGTAAATTACTTGTTAAAGGTATCAATAATGTGTGAACTGTAAAGCAACTTTAATAGTTCCAGGGTTAACCATAAAGGATGAGACTTTAGAGACGACTGTACGGAATTTGTAAAGTATGTTTCCTTATATTTAGATTCCCTGCAAATATAACCTTCTTTCTATCTATTTAAAATCATTAAATAAACAATTTTAAAACCTCATTCAAAACAGCAAACTTAAAATCGTTGTTTTTGCAAAAGTTTTTAGTCTCATCCTTTAAGGGTAAACCTGTGATTAAAGATTTCACCGTAGGAAAAACTTTGAGACGGGCAAAGAGAGGGATGCGCAGCTATGTGTATATGTAGAGGGTAGAAGAGTTATAGATCTTTGGGTAAATATGTTTTTATTTTAGTTTGACGATCCATGTTTTTAATTTACAGAAATAATTAAAATCAGTTGAAAGCAATTAAGCTCAAAATCTAGCCTCTCATTGTTTAAAATATCATAGGTCAGAAAAAGTTGAGTTTATTTAAACAAACCAGTTTATAAAAGTTTTTTTCTTTGTAAAACTTCCAAGCACTACCAACCTTTAACAGAACTGATAATTCATCCCTATTTCTTTGTAACCTTTATCAACTTTTTTACTTTTAATTTATCAGAATGCATGGTTTGATATTTGAAAGGTCTACGAGGTCAGGCTTTTAATTAGAGTTTGAGGCAAGTTAAAATTCCTTTCAGATGAAGTTAAGTTAAATTGGAGAAATATGGCGAAATCTCTTATTGCCTAAACTTCAATATTTTGACCAATAAGAAGAGTAAAAGACTTCAACTAATTCAAACGGATTGAGATTATTTTAAAATTTTCTTGCTCTCAATATGAAAATGCATAAAATTTACATTGGATATCATTTTTTCCTATTTAGCAAATAACACTCTAAATTATCATCTTGGGGAAATCGATTTTTTCAGTGGTGATATTATTATTGGAAGAAAATGTATACCCCTGTTGTAGGGTTCAGCAGAGGGGGATGAAACCTACAATGGAGACAGCCTACAGTGTGTTTTTAGGTTAGTTTTAAATTTAATCTTTGTATTAACAATATATTTATAATTTTTTTTTATAAATACAAGAGCCCGTTAGGGACATGTTCAGGTAATAAACTGTTGTTCCGAAATAAATCTACCACCCCTCCCCCCCTCACTTTAATCCTCTATCCGCCCCTGAACTGATGTGGTTTGTTAACGTTTTTAAATCCCTCACTACGCTCTGAATTGAAAAACTTGAACTTAAACCTTAAACCAACAAAGTAAATAAAAATCCCGAGAAGTTGCCAATGTCTGAAGATCAATGTTAAGCGGAAATATATTAATACGAAAAAAACACTTCTTAAAAAGGTTTAACAATGCTAAACATGTAATTAAAGTAACTTTGTCTATATTTTAGTTCTTCCAAAGCAATTACAGCAATGGCAATTGCCAGTATAGCTGACCAAGGCTTAATCAATTACTCTAATACAGTTGCCAGGTATTATTATTATTATAATCGTGGTCGTCGTCGTCGTCGTTGTTGTTGTCGTTTATTGGATATAAACAAACAGACATTTTATTGTGAGTTCCTGTCTGGATATTGATAGGGTTACACAATACACACTATACAGTAAGCAGGGTTACCCAAAAGATAGCTTAAAGAAATTGAAAAATCAATTGCCTAGAAAAAATTCAGATTTAAAAAATAATTAATCATGTTTTTTTTAGCTTTTTCCTAATCTATATTTTTTCCAACTATTAAATATTACCTAATCAGGTTTTTTAGCTTTTTCCTAATTTTAGGGGAAGAAAGTTCCAAACCTGACACTGAGTGTCGTGTTTGGGGACAAATATTATGATCAACGTCTTAGTAAATATAGAAACTATTTTCAACATATTATTACAGAGGACATTAGTTTCAAAACTAACACTTGGCCCATTTCCAACACTGAGTGTTAGAAATGGGCAAAAATTGAAAGACTGGGTTTTTAGGATCCCGGACTATATCGAGAGTAAAAGTCGATAATTAAAACTTTAACCAACATTTTATTAAACATGACGAGGACAACAATTCCCAATTAAACACTATTTTCTGAAATCAAAATTAGAAAAAGAGGTTTTTTATATTAAAACCCTTGACCGTTTTCAAGACAGTGCCAGGTTTTCCATTTTCAAACGTATCCTGAAGTTGTCACGTTTTCGAAACAATTCCCGTTTTTGATTATAATCCTCAATTCATTACAAAATTCACTTTCATAACACACAAAATAAACACTGAAAGTAAAAACTATCCTATGAAGACTAAATAAACTGCTAAATTATTTTTAAAATCTTAATTTTTGCTATAATTATTTAAAAATATAAAAGAACAGTATTTTTTTGTTTTCTATTTTTTATAAAAAAAACCTTTCTTTTTTACGTAAGTGTGTAAATGCTTGAAAATTGACATTGATATGAATTCGAGTAATTGTCTGAAAACCATGAAATGTTCCGAAAACTTGACATGAGCTGAACTGCAGTAATTGATTCAAAATAGGGATATGTGTGAAAATGAAAACCAATATCATCAAAAACTAATTCTCATACCTTATTATTAGTTTAAAGTTGACATTTCTTGTTTCAATTATTAGTTTTAGCCATTTTCAATAAATATATAGTGTTGTTTTGTTGAACTCGGCTTGGATTTATATATATACTCTTGAAAAAGATAACTTTGCAGATTTGACCCATTTCGAACACTCAGAGTTAGATATGGGCCAAGTGTTAGTTTTGGAACTAATTTCCCTTGTATTAAGCACGGCGAGAACTGAAAATAACACTATTTACTTCTTTTCTAAGATTGAAATTTCTTTATTTGTATGACCAGGTTTGATATTTAATTTTTTTATAAAAATGTAGCTTTAACTATTCTAAATAAAAGTATGGAAACGGGTTTTTCTTCTCGACCTAAATAAAAATGTATTAACCGTTAAAAAGATAACTTTGAACAGTTGGCACAAACGTGACACTCAGACTCAGGTCTGTTTCATATCACGGTTTGGATCTTTCTCCCCCTGAATTCATCTTTTTGCTCAGCTATTTCTGATTCTGTTTGTTTTTTTAGCTTATTACTTTTGAGCTATTTCTTTTATGTTTTTTGTCAGCTATCTCCTAATTATGTTTTTTTTTCAGATATTTCATAATTTCTGTTTTTTATCAGCTATTTCCTGATTACGTTTTTTCCCGCTTTTTTTAAATTTATGTTTTTTGTCAGCTACCTACTTTTTTTGCAGCTATTTCCTAATTTATGTTTTTTCGTCTATAATTCTTAATTTTTGTGTTTTATTTTTTGCCTTTCCCAATTTATGCAGTTTTTTGCCAGCTAATTAATATTTTTTTGCAGCTATTTCCTAATTTATGTTTTTTTTTCGTCTATAATTCTTAATTTTTGGTTTTTTTTGCCTTTCCCAATTTATGCAGTTTTTGCCAGCTATACTGACTAATTTTTCTTCAGTTATTTCCCTGAGTTCTCTGAGAATGCTAAGGGGGATGTAAAAGTTGAGGATTTGCTGAGACATGAGAGTGGGTTGGCGAATATACACACTGCTATAAATCCAAAGGTACTTTAAACCATTTTGTCATAAATCCAGCCCCCAGGATATCCAAAATCAACTGAAGACGCCCCCCCCCCTGTTTTTCTTTTAATTAATTAAGTCCGCTGTAATCAATTTTTTATGAAATTAAAAAGGGGGGGATTTAAGAGGATGGGTGGGAAAAAAATATGCCTTTTCTATTTTCATTAAAAAAACTTTATATGTCTTTATGCTTGGCTAAGGAGTAAGGATCTATGACAAAGATAATATCCTAGGATTTACACCCTCAAGAACTAGTTCTTTCTTCAAGCTTTAGAAAGATAATATCCTAGGATTTACACCCTCAAGAACTATATCTTTCTTCAAGCTTTAGAAAGATAATATCCTAGGATTTACACCCTCAAGAACTAGTTCTTTCTTCAAGCTTTAGAAAGATAATACCTTAGGATTTACACCCTCAAGAACTAGAAAAAGGGACTGTGGCCAAAATTATTGCCAAGGATTATCAAGTTTTTCCAAAAAATACTGTCAGGTAAATATATAAAACTAAAATGGAATGATTAGTTTTGTGAACATTTTTTTGGTAAAAAAAAACCGCCGAAAAGATTTATAAACATTTACAAGTTGATGAACTTTGTTTTTAAATGATATTTCCCCATAGCTTTCTACATTTTTATTCACTACTTTAAAATATTTTCATTAATAATAAAATTCAGCCTATATCTATTTCTAATTATATGTATTTACATTACACACAAAACTGTGGAATAGGAAGACGACTGTTAGACTTAGTCTCGATCTTAATTAGTACAATGAAATGAAACACATCATCGTGCAGTGTAATCAGGCCCATTTCACTTTAAAGTTGATTTTCAAGCTTATTATTGCTAAATCTATTTGGTTTTTGATTCCACTGTTTTACGGGCTCCACTGTACACTCCCGAATTTGTTTAGAGAATATCATAACTTGACTGGAGGATGGATAATGAACGAAATATTCCGGAGAGTAACTCCAGATAAAATAACCATAGGTTAGTAGAACCTTTTAATTGTAAAGCCCCCGTCTCCACAATTTTTTTTCCATATTAAGAGAAAAAAATTGTAAAAAATCAAATATTCACGGAGGAGATGTATTATTTTTTATTATTTTTGAAGAGGGAAGTAGAAAATAATTTTTTTATAAATGTTGTTATACATCAAGACTTAAATATGATTCAGGAAGCTGGCTAAGACGAGAGTACCATGAAGGGCATGGTATAGATGTACACATGGGTCTAACAGAGTCTGAGCTAGCTAGAACTAGACCTCTGGAAGCAATTCCAACCCCTCATGCTATGCTCCATTCTCTTATTCCAAATGCATTTGGAGCTCAGGTGTTAAAATATTTTGGTGATATCTTAATAAATGAACCGTTGAACCCCCCCCCCCTCTCCCATTTTCCTGAAAATAGACATCCTCCTGTTACTAGTGTCTATCTACCTTTAGCTAACCTGACCTGAAATAATACAATCACGAGAGGTTGTCTGTTCACATAAGGAGGGGAGTGGGCTGGAAGAAAGCGGATATTTTTCTTAATTTTATTGTTTCTTAATGCCAACGTTAATATGTTTTTGCTTTAGGTTGAACACAATATTTTTGCTTTAGGTTGAACACAATATTTTTGCTTCAGGTTGAACACAATATTTTTGCTTTAGGTTGAACACAATATTTTTGTGTTCTCCAAAATTTTGAGCTCTTTTAAAAGAAGATTCACGGAGACTGAAAAGCGTGGGTTTGCCGCCATGTTTGAGGGAGTGGACCCAGGTAATTTCATTTCAAACTCCATGTCAGATTCACAAAGGTACCCTTACATTTTTAAAGCCTTTGTATGGTTGACCAAGAATGTATGAGATATCCCAGGTTTTCTTCTTGAAAAAATATATTTTTTAGTTGTGGCTTCTTTAGGAAATAACAACAAGCTACAAATTATAGCAGCAGAGAACACGCCACTTTAAAGAGAGCCACAGTCTACAGTATACAGTCCCTTTAAAGAGAGCCACAGTCTACAGTATACAGTCCCTTTAAAGAGAGCCACAGTCTACAGTATACAGTCCCTTTAAAGAGAGTCACAGTCTACAGTATACAGTCCCTTTAAAAATTGAGTTGTTCAGAAAATAAGGACTAAAGATCTTACATTAACTTAGTCAATTTAAACAAGATTTATTATTTTTCATTTGTTGAATTTTTAGGATTAGATCCTGGTGTGCTGATTCCTGAGTTTATGAATAGTCCTGATTGGAGGTTAGGAGAATCTCCGCATGGAAATGTCCACGCTTCAGCCCGAGCTCTAGCTATGGTGAGTTACAGGGTGTCCTGCTAAATATGACAGTTAAGAGATAGCTCGTTTTTGATCTCCGATAGCTACGAGGGGTGTCCCACAAAATACGGCGGTAGCTAGACGATCTTAATCTTTAAATAATTGGGGGCATATACTCGTAAACCTAAAAAATCAATATTTCTGGTATTTCCAAAATGTGGTCTACCATTTTTGTGCTTTTAATAGTACCGGAGGGTTATGCGAGTTTTATATACTTTTGTCAAGGTGGTTTTATTTAAAGAATAATTTTACAAGCCCAAAAAAGGCAGACCACATTTTATAAACGTCGGGGCAAGCTGTTTTTAATGATTTTGTAAAATATTAAAATATATTGTAAAACTAGGTGGACGATTGAATGCCACAAATTATTTCAAAGATTAAAGGCAACCTATAGGTCGGCATGCAACTGCAACCCCAGAAATCAACACAGTTATCATAAAGACGACATTTCTGACGACAGTAGGTCGGAGAGTATATTTTTATGATTTATATCCTAGCAGCATAGAATTAATGTCGTATTTGTTGAATAAGACACAAGTGACCATTAGTGTTCTGAAAACACTGGTGTTCTATCTGTAATTATACATCGTCTTTACGCAATATCTCCTCTACTGAACTTCTGACCTCCAACTTTCCGACTTAAAACAGCTGTTCATTTTGTAATATTTGATGGTAAGGTTGGGTTGAGACAATTTCTGGGCCGAGTGCTGCGGCTAGAACAGGCTAGGGGACCGGGCGTTGCGGCCACATGGCCAACTAGCAGCTTTAAAACCACGTCGGAAGTGTAGTATAGCGGATATACGTAGGTCGAAAGATACACCACCGTTAACTAACATATATTTCTAAGCTGGCTGGTGCTATGGCCAATGGAGGACAAGTCGAAGGAAAACAAATTATCAGTCCAACTGCCTGGATTCTTCTTCACAATAATCCAATTGTAAGGTAAGCAGTACTACAATACTGCAACAGTACTTTTTACAATTTTTTATAAGATATTCATACATTATTTGTAATGGCATCATTCATTTTTATTCATTCTCATTCTCTGTTTACAAGTTGGTGAACTCTTTTTTGTGACATACTGTTCATGTTTCTTTTTTGTGACATACTGTTCATGTTTCTTTTTTGTGATATACTGTTCATGTTTCTTTTTTTGTGATATACTGTTCATGTTTCTTCTTATTCTGTCATTAATTTTTCTCTCTTAAAGTTGTCTGTACCATTCTCTTGACTTAAGCGCAATATCACACAATCAGTACAATAGTACTCATTCTCTAGACTTCAGTACATTTTTAGTACAATAGGGCATTATGTGTTCTTTGAACTCTTACCCAAAGAACAATCTTTTTACAATAAAATACATTTGGATGATTTTTATTCTTAGAATCTGATTTTATTATTTTAAATAGAATGTTCACCTATTTCATAATACACAAAACAGGGGTGTATACTTTTCAGAATTATTTTCAGATAATTAGGAGAGGGGGGGGGGTTGAAAATTGGTCATCTATTTTAAATTCATTGATTTTCTTTCAAAAATCATTTAAGTTCAACAATTCAGCGAATTTAATGATTTACTAAAAATACCTAGAATTTTTTTACTTCTAAGGATTGCAGCTATGCCTATCATGCCACCCAAAGATGTTTCCTACAAAGATCACTGCCTAGTATCTAGCGTTCGCTCAGAAAACTGCAGTTTATAGTGAATTTGTTTCACTCATAAAGAATTTTGGTATTTCAACGAAAGCAAATTTGCGGGGAAATAATGCTGCAATTACTATGGTGAAAACCCTAATTAGTGCAAAGTATTGAAAAACAAATCTGCGAAACTATGACATAAAAACGTTGATTTGATGAGTGAACTCAACGTCTGTCTTTAAGTGCAGTGAGAAAGGCTTAGTTGTAATTTTAAGTTCAAAATAAGGTACAGGGTTACCCACAAAGGATGAGACTTCAGAGACGACTGTACATAATTTAAACTGTCTTATTTCCTTATATTAAGGATTCTCTGCAACTTTAAATTGGTTTCTTTCGTGGCCATGTCAATTTACAGGCCGTTAATAGACAATATTCAAGACATAAAACTTAATTTAACCTTGAAATCGTCATATTGGTGTTTCAGGTCGTCTTTACAGTCTAATCCTTTGTGGATAACTCTGTACTTTGTGTATTTTGAAATTTGTGAAAAAAAAATTTAAACAGGGAGGATGCGTACATGAACGGATGCAGAACTGAGTTTACCCAAGGTGGAGTAAATATGTTCAAGGATTATCATGATGATAAGTTTGGAGAGAGAGTGCTTAAGGTATACAATGCTCTAACTTATTTAACTTTTCTTTTAAGAAACTCTATCTTCAATTTTTCTCCCTATATTCCGATATTTCAAACTAAGAATTCTGTTGATAAAATAGTGTAAGTTTAAAATATAAAATAATTATACCATCAGGTTTCAAAAATATAGGGAGAGAAAAAATTTACGCTAAATTTTTCACAACGGAATAATTGTGTCTTGGAAAAATTCATATTAATTATTTTTTTTGAGTGAAGTTTTTCATTTATTTCTTATAACATTTTATTAACAAAAAAAAAGACCAGGAATTTTTGTATTTCCAGAAAGCCTCAATCTTACGAAGTTCATGTCCGATTCACACTGGTATTCTTTTAAAACCTTAATCTGTTTAATAATGGGAAAGATATCGTCTATAGCTTTTTATAAATACTAGGCTTTTAGGGCGTTTTGCGCACATCTTCTATTTCAACTCTTAATTGTGGCTTTATCTCTGAGCATCTTCTCTTTGTACAGTATCAAACAAAAACAAAAAAAAAGTTTGCTGATTTCATAATATTTTTTCGCGCATTTTCAAAATTTTACCAAAATAAAAAACCTTTAAACAAACATTTTTAAAATTTTGATCATTCATAAACCTTCCCTGGGGTCACGTGAGGTCCCACACAAAATTTGAACCTGATCGGTTCAGCCGTTTTGACGTTTAATGGATGTATTTCTGACAATTTGCTTCAATGTTTCGTTAGCAGGAATCCGCAAGTGGCTTTTACAGATAAACCACAATTAAAGATAAACAATTGTTAATTCTTGATCAGACCAAGCTTTAATGGGAACTGTTGTGAATCGGACATGCTACTTTATAGTTTATGTAGATTAATCTAGTCACTTAAAACTACGTCTACAGTCCCTTTAACGTACAACCTGTTCTAGTCTGGAAGGCATGGGTTTACTGGATGGATGGGGTTTGGTGGTAGTATCATTCAATGGCACACAGAACTTAAATTAGGTAACGGGTGTATTTTTAAGATTCGTAAAAAATGTGAAATTGGTGTTGAAAAGCTAAAGTTTGTCATCCTTGTTCGAACCTTTTATTACCTTTTAGCCAAAAAAATGTTTCCCCCTAAACTCATTTTTTCCTCCGAAGCGAATAAACCCCTAGAAAAAGAATGATTTTTTAGGAAAATAAAATATACACAGTCAGGCAACCCTTAGCAGGAAACTTTTAAATCTAGGGGAATATTTAAAATTGTGAAAAATTGGACTTAAACTGACAATTTAAAAAAAAAATTTAATTTTACAAAAAAAAAATTTTCAAAGAGATAATTTTCCCCAAATTTCTAATATTTTGGGGGTTTTATTGTACTTCAAATTCATTTACATATTTCCCTAAAATTGTTAATTAAAATTAAAAATCCATTAAAAAATTATCCACTCCACGCAAGCATATAAATGAAAAAATTTCCAAAATTATGAGTTTTTATGAAAGTTTATACACCTTCAGTTCCCAACTTCAAAATATAAATTGGATTAACATTCTTAAAAATATAGAAAAATTCAAAGTAATTTTTAAAATCTCAACTTAAAACAAAAATTAATTAATTCTTTGAGCACAAAATTATTATTTTCTTTTTTTAGGTTTTGGATATGCTTGTACATTCATGACTTGGTGGGATATGGCAAATATCAAGGAAATTTTCACTTCAAATCATATTTTTCATCATTATGATGGCTTCTTAAAGGGAGTGTTCGCGAAAAATGAAAGGGGGTATAGGCATACGGCGAAAAATAAGTGCTTTTGATCGTTACTAATCTCACTTCTATCTGTTTCGTCTATAAGGAGAAAATTGCTAAAAACGGCTAATGCTGAATAACAAAGCATCCATACAAATTCAGTAAGTTGCAATCCACGACTCGGATAGTAAAAAATCAATTTAATTTCAAACAACTCATTCAGATATTGCAACCTATATTCATCGATTATTTTTCGCCACATTTGTATATAGTTAATATTTGATAATATTTTTTACTTTTATATACAATGCACATAAAACACCGTTTTTTCCGCTTGGTGTCTCTGCCACGTAGAATCATTAAGAGCATCGAGAGCAGAGACACCTAGCGGACAAACTAATCGGCGTTTTAAGTGCATTGTATATAAAACAAATACAAAATATTATGAAATATCAACTATATTACGAATGCGTCGAAAAATAGTTGATGACTAAAGATTGTAATATCTAAATGATTTGTTGATATTAAATTCATTTTTTACGATCCCAGTCGTGGATTAAAATTTTCTCAATTTGGGTGGATGCTACGTTATTCAGTAAAAGTCGTTTTTAACAATTTTTTCCTTAAAGACGCAGAAGATAGAAGTAAGATTGGTAGCGACTAGCGATCAAAAACCGTTTATTTTTCGCCGTATGCCTATACCCCCTTTCATTTTTCGCGAACACTCCCTTTAATGTCTTCCCTTATCATTCTTTACTCAATCACGGCCACATTTTAACAATAAATGCTTATATAAACGGCTATTTTTTTTACAAATGAGGGGTTGTATCCCTTTTTTTAGAAATTGTTGAATTGTTATCATCCCCCTCCCCCTGAACTTGATTGCTTTTGGTCCCCTTTTCCATAGAGTTTGCGACACAAATTAAAATTACATTTTTTTATTATTGGCAAAAGTGAATTTATCCCAGGCAAGAAAACTACAGAAAGAGGTGGTTGTCTGTACTAAACGGATAAATGAAGAAAAAATAGATGAAAAAATAGATGAAAATAATAATGTAAAATAGTAAAAACCGGGAAATATATGGATATTATAATTAAACATTAATGTCATGTGTATGTGAATTTTTACAGTGACTGGGGTTTCAAGCGACTTATTTTGCAATGTCCGATTCACAACAGTACCTTTTATTTGATAAGTTATAAGTTAGATATCGACGTTTTTTTTAGCTTTTAACTGGCTTAATTTTAACAATTTCCGCCATCGCGTCTGCAGTATGCAATCAGCAAGTATCTTTTAAATGGAAACTAAATTTGTTCATGTAGAAAAAATCCTGATATCTACGATATTTTCAATCAGATCAAAATTCACAAGTTACAGAATCGGATATGCTACACTATAAATGGAGGGTCACTTAAAACTATGTTTTCTGTATTGACCTCTGGGGAGTGGAAGTAGGGCATTTTAAGAGTTTATTCTGCAAATACAATTTTCACAAAAATGGTGCTTTAACAAACGGACAATTAAATGAGTTTCAAAATCAAAGTTGGATTGTTAAGTAAAGTTCTTGGTGTAATGCTTAAATCTTTAAAACAAAAATGGCTCGTTTTTTGCAAATCTACTGTTATTAAAATTAAATATTTTACCGATTCTTTTGTTATTAAAAAATGTACACGCTGAACAGTGAACAGTGTTTTGACCAACCCTTCATTCTTAGATTGGAATGTCTGATTCAAACCAGTACCCTTTCTTCTTATAGCAGTATTCAATGCAGTATACAATTTAATACTCCTCAAAATTGGATTGTAAAGTAAAGTTCTTTGTTTAAAGCTTAAATCTTAGAAATCAAGATGGCTCCTTTTTCATCGAACATTTTGTCATTAATGTACACGCTGAACAGTGTTTTAACCAACCCTTCATTCATAGGAGCGGGGGAAGGCAGGCGGCCATGAGCCACCACTATTTCCCCTTCCGTGCCACATATTAGCTTTTTTCTCTTCCGGCAGCCATGAGCCATCACTATTTCCCCTTCCGTACCACCACATTTGACTCTTCCGGGCAAAACTACTTTTTAAATGGTAAATGTAGGGGATTAAAGTGTGATTTTAAAAAATTCAGCCGCGTCATGTAAAAAAAGCACAACTCAAACCATTTTTTCAATTCTACTTAAGATTAATATTTTGTGTGTTGAATTCTTAAACTGTTTTACAATGAAATTTTTGACAAATTTGACTGAGTATTGCACCTTGAAATATCACAAAGTATAATGATTATTCAATCAATCACTAATACTAAATCCATCTTAAAATCACTCATTAACCCACTTTGGTGGTGGTGGTGGCTTATGGCCACCTTGCCTTCCCTCGCTCTGCATAGAGTGGAATGTCTGATTCTAACCAGTACCCTTTAGACATTTATCTGAGATTTCCTTCAAATAATTTTGATTGAGGAACTCACTAATATTTACACTGAAAACATTATTTATTTTCCCTTTATTTTAATTAATCATACAAGCACATATTTGATTAAACCAAGTTATATACAGTGGTAACCAAAAAACAGTGGAATGATTGTCGTCTCTTATTACGAAATGTTATCAAAGATTTTATATTGTGTAAATAATTTTTTCTAGAATTATGCTCTTAACGTTTTAGGAAAAATGTCAGTTAACACTATATTATAGAATTCAAAATTATTTAAGCGATAATTCTTGATCAAAACAACAATTATTCCTGTTTTTAACACATTAACAGAGTTAAACGTAAGATGTAGAAATAATTTGAAAGTAACCCTCCTTAAATAAGAGTGGCATGTCCGATTCACACCAGAGTTCTTTAATCAACTCTTTACGTAACAATGGGGAAGATAGTTGCACTTTACTATCTAAATAAGTCGAAATTTGATAATTATCTTCATCGTCTCTGAAGCAAAAAATCAACTTTGATTTACGCTCGACATAAAAATTATCTTTTTCATCCTTGATCAGACAAAGTTTTAATGGGTAACGTTGTTGATCAGACATGCCTTTCTACAATTGCAGGATCTTTAATATTACGCCTCCAGTCTCTTTACATATAAATCCTATAATATGGATATTTATAGTTTGATCTGAACTGAATCTCCAAGACGGATAGTTCCAGTATGTTCTACGCCTAGATTTATACCGAAGAAAGGAGATAACCCGTATTCTTTCCGTTCTACTGTATCCTCGGAACATCTATACTCCCTGAAAATATAAGATACAGTGAGACCCATTAAAAAGTACAAGAGGAAGATTGTGAAGGACTAGTGTAATGTTTTTTTTTTTAATCCAAGAAACATGAAACGGCAAATAGTAGTGCAGAAGTACTCACAACCACTCAAACGTGTTTTGCGGCATGCGCGCTGCTCAATTGGTAATCTCCATCACCTCAATTGGTAATCAGACAAAAAAGCGTAACATTAAATCGTTTATTTCTTAGAAAAAAAGCCATATTGACCTCTAATGGCTCTCTATGGTGTACAATATTGTTAAAGCTTTCTTTATTTGGGAGAAATTTTGCAAGTCACCCTAATTGTATCTTATGTCTTATTGTTGCTCAGATGAATGTGAATCGGGCACCAAACTATTTAACTTGGACTCCCTTGACTTACATTGACATTTTCTTTAAATAAAAGTTTCACCTTAGAGTTTTCAATGGCTGTCCTTTGTGATGTTTCTGTCCAGTTCCTGGATCTACTGTAGTGAATATACATCTAGAGGTGGAGGTTCATCTAGGACTAATCAGAGTTAGGAATTTTAGTGTAGGATACTCATAATCCAGACTGATTGATAACGATATCCACAGTGAGTACTTTTAATTAATCTCTTCATTTCAGTTATTTCCCCAGGGTTCCATTAAAATTCGGTATACCGAATAAAAAATTAAATTAATCTGTAGTTTAATAAAAGATTGAGATCAAGCATTGATCTCAATAACAACAATAGAAGAGTTCCGAGCTCTGGTAAACAATAACATTGTCGCCCATTTCAGACATAAAAATTTGTCATAGACAGTATCTCCATCTATAAAATCTGACACAAAAAGTACCTTAGTCCATAAATCTGCCGCAAAAAAAACAGCCCGGGGGTTTATTTTTTTTTTTTGACTTTTTGGGGTTTTTCAATTTGAAATTAGTTAAAACCTACTAAAATTCATACTTATTCAGAATATTAATACTTTTTAAGCAATAAGTGAACTTAACAGTTACGTAAATAATAACGTTGTGATAATATGCTAAAATAATTTATAAATACTCTTCAAATACAATAATATCATCTACCTTATACATAGTGGGAATATTGAATTTTTTTATTATATATCTATAAAGTAATTGAGTCTTTGTAACAAAATCAAATATTTAAACCACAATATCTTTAGAACTCGATGTTGTAAACCTTTGATATTTCAAACTCAGATTACTTGATCTAACATAATTCATAGTTTGAAATATCTAAGGTATGCAACATTTGGTTCCAAAGATATAGTGATTAGAAAATCAGAGTTTGTAGCCAAGACTCAATTTCTTTCAGACTATTTTCTCACTTGGATACATGATTGGGGGTGGAACTACTCAGATTAATCGGTAGATATTTAGATGCTCAATACACCGCTGTTAATTAAAATCAATTCACTTGATATAAAACCTTATTTCTTGAAGACTCTTTATAAAAACAAAAACCAAAAAGCCCACTTTCAGTTGGGTTTTTTAAGTGCGTTTAATTTTTTTTCTTTTTGGGTGGGTTTTTTATGGATGGTTTTTTTTTGTTGCCAACTCTGAATTAGGATTACACTACCAAATCTGCCACCATTTTAGTTCATAAAATCTTAAAGTACTATTTATGCCCAAAAAACTGCCTTATTTAGCATTCTGGGTCCAAAAAATATTTCACAAATAGTATCTCAATTCATAAAATCAGCCCAATTAAAAGTATCTTAGTCCATAAATCGGCCCCAGACAGTATCTCAATCCATAATATCTGCCTCAAATAGTATCTGAAGTCCATAAAATCTGCCAGAAATGGTATCGAAGTCCAAAAAACTGCCTCAAATAACATTACAGTCCAAAAAATATCCAAAAAATAGTATTTGAGTCCATAAAATCCGCCATAATGGTATATAACTCCATAATAGCTGTCAGAATAAGCGTCTAAGTGCATAAAATTAGATGAATCCTTAACCTAGAGCAGGGCTGAACGTTTCTAAAGACGACATTCTCTCCTATCCTAGATCAAAGGAGAAATTATGTAGATTGTAGAATTTACTCAAAATTAAAGAGACAGTGAACGTTATTTTAGTGAACCGCCATTTTTTCCCGATTCGCAACGGTACCTTTTAAACCTTTATCTTTGAAAATGCCCACAGTAAAAGTAAGTAAATTTTCAACAAAAAATAAGGATATATAATTCAACCTTGACCAAGCAAAGGTTTACATTTTAGAAAATGAAGGATCACTTGGAATTAAGTTTACAGTCCCTTTTATAAATAATATTCATGGGGAAATTGACTGATGACTTTATCAGGGGGAAATTTTTACAATTACTCCCTATAATCTCCCTTGTGAATAATTTTCGGAAAATTACAGTAAAGTCACAAATTTATATTACTATTTCTGCATGGATTTGCGGATTTTTACAATTTAAATATATTTGATTTAACTTCATTTGCATCTGTTTTAGTTGGAATAAAAAATATTATTTCAAGGGGGGGCCGGGACAAGGGAAAAGAAATCAATATCCTAAGATGGTCTGGACGGGGAGGAATGTGTGTTACTAAATAATAACTCTGCCTGATGTAAGACCATTGATCCTCAGCATAAGGAGGAAAATCTCCTTCAACAAATATATTTGGTCTGAACCTGGTCTCTTCAACCTACATAATGTAAACCAGAAATACAGGGTGTCCATCAAAACATGGCAGAGAGACTACTTGAAGATTGTTTTTGATCTACTCTTTGAAATAGGTTTTCCCATAAAACATGGCAGTTGAGCGACAATATCGTCTTTGATCTTCTCTTAAAAATTATTTGCGGCATTTATTTGTTAGCCAAAATTCTGAAATAAAATTCTTGGAACTATAAATTTAAAGTTAATAAACAAAACTGGAATTTGTCTAGGGCCGGGTTTAAATTTTTTTCGACTTTCCGAGGTTTTCTTATATGTCCCAACCCTGCAAAAAAAGTAAAGAGTTGACCTGTAAATCTGCCCCTGAGTTCTCTAGGTTGATATTAAGCTGGTCAACTGATGGTTTGGAGAGAAGAAGATACGGAAACCCGTCTGCAAAATATGGTTTATCTCCAGCCTTCTTTAGAGGAGCCAGGTAGCTGTTTTCCTCTTTGTCCGGTCTACTACTTAAACCTGTATCCATGGAGCCATGTTGTTAATAATACTTGTACTTAAACTATTTTCAATTAATAAAACAAGTTTAATGGAATGAAGTCTTTGCTACAAACACAAATATTCTAATCCTGATATCTTTGAAACCTGATTGACCTTTGATATTTCAAACTTAGATAATTTGGTCGAACAAAACTTACAGTTTAAAATATCTTAGATCTACGATATCGGGTTGCTAAAATACAGGGATAGGAAAATCAAAGATGTGACAAAGACTCAATTCCCCTTTCCTAAGAAGTCCACTTCCATGTTTAAAGACATGATCTTTATTATTAAGTTAGTTTGGGTTCAATAAACGTCCAAGAAGGTAAATTGCAGGGTTACCCACGAAGGAACTGTGAAGCCGACCTGAGTCCAAAACTAGAGAACGAAAATTTACTACTTAAATGTTAAGTTTTAGCTTAAATGCCACTTCTGACTTAATTTAAACCTGAATTTTAAATCTTTAAATGGGTAACTCGTCGATGTTAGCAAGTAAATTTTTAAACCCGAAAATACCCACATTCAGTTTTGCGATATTTAATGCATGCAAATGATTTAATCTGACGATTTAAAGATCCCGCAACAAGTAAGACATTTTGTAATATCTCTGTAAATATTAATAGCAGCCGGTTCTATTTTTGAATGAAGACTCATAATTGCCTAAGAGCTGGATATGAAGTCCGATTGTCGGAATCTCTTTTCGGAGACTTGGAACCTCTGAAAAGTAACCTCCGGTGGCTCCGATTTTTTATCTCCTCCTCCGTTGGAAAAAAAGCCCAATTTTTTAATATATAACCCCTAGAATACTTTTTTTTAAATGCAAAAAGTGACAAGTTCTGATCAAAAATAAAGGAGCCAAAGAAAAAAGAAAATATTATTGAAATTATTATCTAACACATTTTTTTGCTGAAAAATCACTTTTTTGGCATTTTCCTCCCTAATAATCGACCCCTTAGCCTGTCCTAGCCGCAGCACTCGGCCCAGAAGTTGTCTTAACCTAACCCTCAAATAATACAAAAAAAAACAGCTGGCGTAGGTCCGATATAGCAGTAGGTCGGAAAGTTAGTATGGGGGATGTTGCGTAGACGATGTAACATTACTCTTCCTGAAGGATGAAAGACAAGCCGGAGACCCTGAGGTTGCTCAAGGATAACCTCACTAAGCCAACGCCCTGCAGCCTCTCCTGAACTTACAGTTTATAGGGAACACAATCATTTTTAATCATACTTGGTTGCAATCAAAATTTGTTGTAAAAACTCAGTTGCGATCAAATCACTTTTAATTATAAGCTCTGTTGCAACCAATCACATACAGTAAATAACAATTTCAATCATTTTATTTGCATTGAAATCTTCATTTAACAAGAAATAGTTACTAGAAAAACGACATTTCAAGCAATCAAATGTATTCAAGCAAATACTTATTTATAGAAGCTTGAAAATAAATATGTTTTGTTAAATGGATCTGTTTAAACTGCACAGTTGCTGTTATTCATGTTTTTTTAGACTATCTAAAATCATAATGAATTAGACTATCTAAAATCATAATGAATTAAACTATCTATTAATCATAATGAAATAGACTATCTAAAATCATAATGAATTAGACTATCTAAAATCATAATGAATTAAACTATCTATTAATCATAATGAAATAGACTATCTAAAATCATGATGAATTAGACTATCTAAAATCATAATGAATTAAACTATCTA